CTTTCTTTCTGATCCTCTGAGAGTACCAAAAAATGAATGCACTGAATACGACGTCGGGCAATGGATGTGTTAGGAGGCACTGCAGAGAATGGCCCCAGTAGGGCGAACATTGATGCTCATAACCAATCCATCGTATGCTTGCTTTGCTATACGTCTCTGGCGTTGGGACGAACAAGGGATACGCCTTGGTCCTTGACAACCTTGTCGACACGAACATAGGAATCTGCATTAATTAATTAATTAATTAAAAGCAACATCTACATAATTCATATGAAAAAAAGCAGCCATTTTTATTAATTTCAAAGAAGAAGAAAAAGAATGAGAACCTGGCATTGAATGTCAATTCCATGCTGCTTGTATTCCAAACTTATGCTTCTTGAGAACATTGAAAGGTACCTATATAATATCATAACTCATAAATTCATGATATATGCAGTTACACCTACCATTCAAACTTTGACTTTCAAAGTGTCAAGATTATTTCGGCTTTTGTTATGAAATTCGGATCCTTTGTATGGATTTTCTAATATATACAAGAATGAGATTTCAAACTTAAGACGTACGAAGTACATTACTTTGATTAACTATGACTTAATTTATGTCTAAATATTTCATGACTTTGGAAATGTACATCTATGATATGACGCAACGTGAATATTCACTAACAAATTTTTGATAAAATACTTTTTTCGTGTTGACAAAAAACAAAAGAAGAATTTCTTCATTAAAAAAAAAACAAAAAACTAAAGAAGAAGACTTTTTTCGTTTTGAAAAACTTGTTGCGTATGGAAGTAAAAATGTAAAACCTTCAATCCCACACGGCTACAAGACATAGAATGCACTTAAGACATTCAAGATTCAACCACAAAATTACTGCAAATTATGAAACAAATCAAAGGCTTAATCAAGAAATTAACTCACGCTTTGGAAGCAGCGTAATTAGTGTAGAGAGGAAAAGAAGGGATGGCAGAGGAACCAGAGCCAGAGCCAATATTGACAATAGCTCCCTTCTTCTTCTTGAGCATACTTGGAAGCACTACCCAAGTGATCCACGTGGCAGCCTCCATGTTCACCTTAATGCTATCCATCAGCTCCAAATCATCAACCTCATGAAAGAACTTTCCATAAGAGTAAGCCACTCCTGCATTGTTAACCAAAACACCAACATCAAGCCCTTTTATTTCCTCCTCTATGGCTTCAGCTATCTCCTCCCCACTGAGTTTGGCCAAGTCCATGACAATTTTCTTGATCTCAACTCGTTCACCAAATCTTTCATGTATTTCGTTGGCGGTAGCTTCGAGCTTTGAAGCGTTTCGATCAAGCAGCACTAGGTTAAGACCCTTTGCAGCCATTTCAAAGGCAAGGGCTCTGCCAATTCCATCAGCTGCGCCAGTGATGAGAGCCCATGATCCATACTCCTTGAGATTCTTGGGGGGTCTCAGAAACATGACCCAAACCCATCTGAGAAAATTGATGGAGGTTTTGCAAAGAGAGATGAAGCCTATAGTGGTTGCTACCACTGTGAAAAGTTCTTGGAATTCCATTGATATATAATCTTATAGATATATTCAATCAGGTGTTTATATATAAAATTTGGAGACTAGGATGAGAAAGTTGAAGTAGGACCCTGTAATTAAGTTTGATGGTGAGAGGAGAGCAAAAGAACAGTATGGGATAATGAAAATAAATATCTATACAACAACCTACAGCGAAATAATTAAATAACAACCTACACCAAAATAATTAAATATCAGTCACCATAAATGAAAAGAAAAAAATCTCATGGTTTTAATTTTGTTCATATCTGAGGTCAACCTAAACTCTGTAGTTTATTTCCACCAAGACCGTAATTTCATCATCCACACCACACCATGCCATAGATCGGTAATCAGTATGATGTGGTAACGCATTTAGTTCACTAGTTTATTAGAGTCGGTGTAGCTCATGGATGCCAACAGTTATGCCCATACTATTTCGTAAAGTTGTGGTCCATGTTTTAGCTCTCACACTTTTAGTGTCCATTTAGATGGATTAATTTCAAATTTAGGGTTTTAGATCACATTGTATGATTAACCTGTTTGTTTAGACTACTACAATCTATGTATGCCAAGATTTGAATGAGAAGAAAATTAAGAAAACGAATAGATACCAAATAACTCATTGCAAATAGTCATTTCAAATCCATTCCAAACATTCTACATCAATCTACTTAGTTTTTCTAATTCTTTTTAACACATTTAGCATTCTCCTATTCCTTTCAAATGTTTCCATTCAAATAAATATTTATTTCTCACTAGCTCACATTTCAAAGTAAAAGGATTCTCGTTGTAATGGGGTCCCTAGTGAAAATGACATTGACTTGCATAACAATGTTTCAGATTTGACTTCCCATGACACATTGGTAGTGTGCGTGTAAGAAATCCGCTGATGTCTCAGTTACCCTCGGAAGTTTTAAATGACTCAATCTCCCCCATGAACTTCCATTTCATTAGTTTTCAAATAATAATTGTTAAATCCGCTGATGTGGCATGGGTATTTTGGTAATTTTAACTATTAAATATTAAAAATGCTTGAAATTATTCAAAATAAAATATGTAAAATAATAAAATAACATAAAAATTAAAAAAACAAAAAAGAATTAACACATCCCCAAAGTTCTACATCATCTTATTCGGCGGCATTGCACCACCACCCCATTGTATACCCCAACCACATCACCAGCCGCCCACAACCACCAAACTGATCGTACCACACAAACCCAGTAGCCGCCTTTCCAATTCAAATCTCCAGCCGTCTTAAGTCAACATTTACCACTGCCATGCGAGATCCAGTCGCCCCACCCTCCATCGAAATACCAACCCAGCCACAGCTCCCCTGTGAGATCCATTACCAATCTAACAAATATAAAAATGAACATCAATATGAAGAAAGTGGATCTAAAAAAGATTTTGGCCTTTTCAGTTGGGTTTGTGGGGGCGGTGGAAGGTGGAGCAACTTGGTGGGTAGGCTGGAATTTAGAGTGGCGGTTGTTGTTATGGAGTGGTGGGAGAGCGAGATAAGCAAGGATGGAGAGGCGACAATATAATAAACTCACACACATTACATAGATACTAGGACTCGAACCCAAGACCTTATCTGGGGGAAGCGTGAAGCTTAGGAAGATAGGAAGATTAGGAATAATTAGCGTGAAGGTTAGGAAGATACAAGTAGAGTGTCACTGTCACGCTCCGGACCCGGGGGTCGGTGGAAACCTCGCGCCCGGTGCGTAGGAAAGTAAAATAAAATAAAAAGAAGCTGAAACATAAAATAAACTTCTCTTATAAAAATATCTCCAAAATCTTACAACTTTACAATTAATAAATAAAGCTCTATCACTCTCATCTAATTCAGTTTCAACTGGTTTAGTCCTTGTCTTACCCACTAATTCATCTGAAAAATTAAACAGGGTGAGGGGTGAGCAACCACCGCCCAGTGAGTAGATTATGTAATATGCCAGTCAAGCAATGCCGTTTTACACACTCTAGAAAATATCATGAAAAAAATACACAAATCCATATCATATCACATCATCCTTTCATATCTCGGTTATCCTTCATAGCATGTAACCAACCACGTGACCCTTATTGGCCTCACTGCCCTATGTCCCCGTGTGATACATCTTTCCCTTGGATACCCTTATTTTTTCAAAGGCATTGTGACAAGCCTCATCCCAAATGAATGGGACATCCTTTTTCATAAGACGACTGAACGGTTGACACCGCCTTGCTAAGTTTGAGATGAATCGTCGAATAAAAGCAAGCTGTCTTTGTAAACTTTTCAACTCACTTAAATTTCTTGGCTCAGGCATATCTCGGATAGCTTTAATCTTAGACTGATCTATTTCGATGCCTCGATGCTTAACAATGAAACCAAGAAATTTACCTAATGTCTGTACATCTTAGTTGGTTCCACGTTCATCCTAGTTTGGCTAGAATTCCTAGTCAATCCAAAAAAAGAAGCATATATATGAAACTTAGTCCTAGGTTCCATGACAAAAAAGACCTAGGGGTTCAAAAGAATACCTGCTACTGCGTTCTACTTATGTTCTACTAAAATAGAATTCCATCGTCAATACGCATAGTAAAGGTAAAGTCCTTAACCTAACTCTCCGCATTACTCAAAAAAGACTTATGAAACTTGTTAAAACAGCTCTTCGCAACAAGATGGAGAATGAGTTTCTAGCAGATTCTATGATTGTCTACATTGAAAAGGAAATTGCTGACAGTATCGATTCATATGTAATTACAAAAGATTTCAATTTTCTCAAGGATCGCAGGGCACAACTTGAATAGATACACTTTTAATTATGTTGTTGAACATATATTTATTTTGATCATATCAATTTTTTGTTGTTGCATTTAATATGTATTTGTTTTATGCTAAATCTTATTGAAAATTATTCATAGCTATGAATTAGTGTGGTTTATATGATTTAATGTCTATTTTTATTTTAGCTAGCCTACTCGTTGAAAAATTCCTAGTTCCACCATTGCCTAAACTGTTGATTGTCTTGTTGGATTTTTGAACTTAATTCTATGATAATAGTTATTATCTTCACTCAAAAAATTTCATTTATCTACACTAGCACCTGCCATTTTCCAAATTTGTACCAACATAGTTAAAACCCCTGCAGAGGACAAGAAAGAACAGAAGCCACCTTTATAGCGGAGCCAGCAAGAGAAAGATCCTCTTCCAACATACATCAAGGCAGAAAATATGTTATTAGTCTATCTTTTGTAATTTAAACTTGCTAAACTATTACTAGCAACTACTATTTTATCACAAACCTCCCCTCCCTCACTCCAAATAACTAAAAACTATCAAATAAACAAATACGGAGATAGGAAAATAGGCTTCCAAAACAATCATAATTAAAAAGAGTTGCAATAATCTGATATTTTAATTTCAAATTTGGCCTTTATATATATAGAAACAACATTGAAACTAGTAGTAGTAGCTTGCTAGCTAGTTAATGCATGGTGTAGCTTGGCCCTTCTTTTCAAGCCAATAGAGAGGCGCCAAGCGTCAAGAAGAGAGTCGGGGACCAAGCTCCCCAAGCACCACTGAAGAGAGTGAGCCCAAAACGGTGTGCAGCGGGCCTCATACCCAATGCGCCGAATCGCTGCTTCGGCATACGCATGTGGCGTGGGTATGAACAGAGATGACCTCTCGATGGATGCCACCCTTGACGCCAGCTTTGTTGCTACGTATAATGGCACCTGACTCTGCACATCAATGCCATAACGCTTGTATTCCATGTGGAGGGATCTTGACAATTGGTCCACGTAACTGCATAGGGTTAAATAAACATGAAATTTAATTTACTTAAATTGATCACCGTAGAATTTGCGTTTAGAACATCTCTAAACATCTCCAAGGAAGATGTTAAATTCAACATGACTGTCAGCATGTAAAAAAAATAAATGAGACTCACTCTAACCGAAATATTAAATCCTAAATGGAATAACATTTCTCTGTCATACTATTATTTTTGGCTCTTTGACTTTGTGATATTATTTTATTATTTTATTATTTCTTTTCACTTAATGTACCTAGAAAGTAATAAACCAATAAACACTATGTATCACATAAAAAAGAAAAAAACTATGTAATATAATAATATTTTAATTTCACATGTCAATGGAATGTAAAACTCTCTTGACATATAAGCCATCAAATTCAAATTTTATAATGTTTGATATTTAACATCTCCCTTAGAGATATGCTCTTACAATTTATAGACATGTCGTTATTTTTTTCGTTAAGTAAACTAGGAGAGTGACATTAAAATATAATAAAATATATTTTTGGTTATTGAGTTTTTCACAAATTGGTTACTAAGAAAAAAAGAAGAAGCCAATATTCACTTTACAACCAAACATTTCCATGGGACGCAACTTATTTAAAGAAAAATAATGATATGTCTATAAATTGTAAATGTTGAGTTATGCACTAACTAAATGGTTTATTTTTTCCTAAGTGACCAAGTCGAAATTTTGTGTGATGGAAAGAAATATTTAACCCTTTAATAATATAACCAATCCAATTAATTGATTATTCACCCCTACAAAACCCAATTAACCAATTAATTAATTATTTACCCCTATAATAATGTAAGCTTACGCTTTGGTAGCGGCATAGACGGTGAAGAGAGGATGTGAGGGCACGACAATGCCTGCGCCGGACCCAATATTGACAACGGCACCTCTCTTCCTCTCAACCATTCCTCGTAAAACCGCCATGGTCACTCTGGTTGTGCCCTCCACATTCACCTTTACCACATTCGTCCACAGTTGCTCATCCACCTCATGCAAAAATCTAGCACTTGGGTACGTCACACCAACGTTGTTTATCAAAACGCCGACGTCCAGCCCTCTGATCTCCTCCTCTAGCAGCTCATTCATACCACCCAAGCTACCGACGGAGAAGTCGAAGGCGACGGTTTTTATTTCGGTGGTGGGATAATGTGCTTGGATTTCTTTCAAGACTGATTTGAGCTTGGCGGAGTTGCGGCTGACAAGGATTAAGTTGAGGCCTTTTTGGGCGAGTTGGTAGGCGAAGGCTTTTCCTATGCCATCTGTGGCGCCGGTGACCATAGCCCATGAGCCGTATTTTTTGAGGTTTTTAGGGGGTCTGAGGAGGATGATGAAAACCCAGTTGGCCAGAGAGGTGGCTTGTTTGAGAAAGATGAAGAAACCTAAAGATGAGAGAAGGAGAAGCCAGATGGGTTGGTTTGTTAGGTGATGAATGCACGAAGAAGAAGGCACCATTTTTATTTTTTTTGGGGAATTTTGGGTAGAAAGACGAGGACTTGTGGGAGATTTAGAATGCTTTATTATGGGGAGTTTGGAAGGAGAAATAGAATAAGCGCTTAATTATTATGGGGTGATCATTTACGATGAGAGAGAGAGAAAGTATGTTTGTGTTATATATATAGTTTAAGAGTCTTGATAAGGAAATTTGATCTTTTTTATCAGTTAGTTTAACTGTAATTTAAAGGGATGAAAGTGAGCAGAAGAATAATAAGTTTTAATTACGGAGTTCGATCCCAGTCACGTTGGGGAGATGAACACCATAAACAGTATTGAATTGACAGCTAACTACTATCCAGTAGCAGCTTTTATTGTTGACGTCTGGACAGGACATAACCTGCTCTCTTCTCTTTTGGGACAGGGCATTTAATTTCTTCTTTCTTTTTCAGTCAAGTTAACGAGCTCTTTTCTATAATTACAGTTAGGTGTTGGAGTTGTGTTTTTCCTTTTTAATTTCAGTTAGGTGTTTGGTGAATAGTATTATTTAACAGCAAAAGTTGTTCCAACCCAACTGCTATAAATTAATCTCATTTATCATTTTGAGCTTTGATGTCAATTTTGCCTGGCATTTTTCTTAAACTTAACATCTCCCTAATCCTGAAACTTGAAAAGTTCTCATGCTTTCTCTTCGTAGCATCTCTTATAGATGTGAAATGCAAAATGTTAAATTCGGATCCAAATTATCATGAATTAAAAGACTTTTAAAAGATAGTGAAGCCCATCTCTAAAAGTTTATGGGATGTCAGTTTTGAGACGATGCTAAGCCGCTTTAAATCCGTTTGAGATTTTGAATGGTTGAAATAGTTTACCTCTCTAATTCTTGTCATTTCAATAATATGTGAAAAGGTTCCTATGTACGCAAGTGACGCTAATTAAGCTTGTCTGTGAATCAAACACATTTCGATTTTGATGTGGTGAGTAAAGGACAAAGTCATGGTTCTTGTTCTTAGTGAAATGGATCATCGACACCACGTACAGAACTCACATGAAGATTTCATTCCCCTTCTATTGACGAATTCGCAATTTGAAGCGAGAACATATAAGTAGCAATGAAGACAGTGAAGTCAACTTTAAGCATAAGAAGACAAGTGTCAGATCTCCCTACAACGATCTGGACACGGCATACCCACTTGATGACACTTTTTTTTTAATTCTCGTCATTTCAGTAATATGTGAAAAAGTTCCTATGTAAGCAAGTGACCTAATTAAGCCTGTCTATGAATCAAACACATTTTGATTTTGATGTGGCGAGTAAACGACAAAGTCATGGTTCTTGTTCTTGGTGAAATGGATCATCGACACCATGTACAGAACTCAACCTGGGAGTGGGAGAGTTCCAACTTGTCATCTGTTGCAGCTCATGAGATCTCATACTGGCTTCTTCTTTGAACTTCATGAAGTAAGTGGATGACCAGTAATCGTTTGCCAAGTTCTTCAGCAAGAGGGTAAAAAACGAAAGAAAAAGAAGAGCTTAGAAATCAATCTAGTCAGTTAAAAAACAAATACAAGTTTGGGAACCAGAAAATTTCATCCTACCATTTTCATCAATTGTATCAGCTCATTCAATGCATCATTAAACAGATTTGGCTGTGCCAGATTGGAAGTAGTCAAAATCGCTTGCCTGCTTCGGTGAGAAATGTTCACCTCCATTGTTGCACCTGTATCATGAAAATTGAATGACATGCCCAACACACTTACAAGACTTAACTCCTAGCTAGGGTGAGGCTAAGGTTGAAGGTAATGCATTATGCATATCCTTAAGCAACACACTTAAAATATAGGTTCTTAATGACGAAACCACAAACCTGCAGTTATGTACTTGTCGATGATATGTCGTGCCATGTAAATCCTTCTTACAGGGTCATCCACTGGTATCTTACCAAGTTCATGCACTTCCTCATAAAAATGCACACTCTCCCCTGCCAAACAACTGTGATTAAGAAGAAAAAATAGAATAAAATAAATACATTATGTGGCACACAATCAATTATGTTATTTCTTATCTCAATAGTCCCTACAAAAAAATAGATCCCACTGGAAGTTTGTGATAAATTAATAAATGATTTTTGAAGGTTCCATTTGTCTGGATAAAAAGCATTTTAAGTTAGCTTCTGGAGAAAGTCTTCTTCTGTACTCAAGGGTAGTTTCTGCATAAAAGTTATCCTCGCAAATGTATTTTCAAAATATGAAACTCAGGGAAGAACAGAACACCTGTCTGCAAAGGACATGAAGGACTGACGGAATCTTTTGTTCATAAGCAGTTTATCAAGTGGCTCATTAGGGTCTATCACAGGTGCTGGTTCCCTTGGTAATAGTAGTCCACTGTTAGGTATACCCAGAGCCTGACCCATTGTCTCAAATGCTAGGGGTTCCCTTTTCCTCAAGCTGATTTGTGATAGAAGAGGTTGTGAACTTGATATCGAAAAGAAAGATAATACAAGAATGCTTGCCTGTAATATATACCTTATAAATGTTAGCAAAACACACAAGTTGGAAGACTTCTATACCAGTTCAAAATATGCAAAAGTACTTCCAGAGGATAAATCATACCGTAACTAAGAGCGCAAATCTAGAGACAACTTGAAGCCATGAGATATCATCATGAATTTCATTCAAAATGTAAGCAGCAACCCATACTCCTGGAAGAAATAAGGAAAACCAATTAAAAGCAGGGTCAACAAGCTGTAGACCACAGTGGTGTAGAACTAATTACAGCCCCGTGATTGGAAAAATCAAAGTATATCATTTCTGAGTAAACCAAAAGAAGATCACAGTGGTGTACCAATAGAAGAGGCTGAGACAAGTATTCCCTGCCAGAGGTCTCTAAGTTCGTCAAACCTGAACTCTATATGCCGTATAGCCCCCGTGAACCCAACCAAAATGGCAACATAGATTGCGTGAAGGGACACAACTGGGATGATCCACTGAGTCCCCATGTGGCATCGATCATTTAGAGGCTTCTTGACATGCATAACTATAAAACATACAAGAGACATTGTGTAACAGGCAATTGGAGTGGATATCCAAAGTATAAATTATTTCAGAGACTCTTACGTGCAGCCCCAGCAATCCATGGCAAGAGAATTAGTGGAAGGAAAATATAAGATCTGATTGGTGGTAGACACCTCCTGAAAGATTGATTGCACATAAGTGGAGCACATAGGTTATCCAAAATAGTCCAATATAAATGCAACCTAAATATCTTTCTGAATTGGTTTTAGTTAATTTAGAGAATGTCCAGCAGCTTAAATGTCTGATTGAATAGTTGATGAGTTGCAGCCCAATTGTAATATTGAGATTTACAATCTAATTTTAAATTCTCAGCTATGTAAAACATTTGCTTACTTGACAAAAATGTAATACAGCTGGAAGGCCTGTGATATGCGACAGCTCAGTAATAAACCAAAGCCAAGTGGAGCTTCAATCCAGACTGAAAGCAAAAGATATTGTACACAAAACTAGAAGTATTCTCAAATAAGAAACTGAATGAGTAACTTTAAATGTATGAGTCATGATAAAGGCAGTGAACAACCTGCCCACGCATAGCAAGACTGCCACCAATGTCTCTTTTCGAATTTCAGAAAATTGACAGACATCTGCATAAAACATGCTGTGCTTTTAATGTTAACCATAGATTCCCATAACACAGCTTAAAGTGGTCTAAGTTATCAAGAGCATTATTGATGGACTATTGAACATATAAATCTATGATGTACCACAATTGACAACAGAAGGTTGAAGCTGGCGAAAATTTGAATAACTGGAATCCAAAAGCTACTGCGTTTCGGTAGAGGAATCTTGTGAATGGCAAAGGGCAAGATTAACCGCAAAAGAAGCCTGAAAGAAACAAAGCGACCAATAGAAAAGGATCAGAGTTAGTCTATTGAGAGAGGTTTTTCAGCGGAAATGGATAATAATCAGAGAATAACAAAGACCACATGAGAAAACAAATCAGCAGTAATTAGTACCTTAGTCTTAATTGGTTTGACATGGTTTTCCACATCAGAATAGTACAACTTAGGACGATATTCTAATACCTTTGAACATCATGTGGGAACAATGAGGTCAAAGAACTCTGCTTATCAAACTTTGAGAATCAAATTATAGTTCTTTCCAGACTTATTTATTCAGAGAAAGCTAAAGGATACAAGGACTGATTGCCCACGAATTTGGATACTCTACCAGTAAATTTCACATGGAAATTTTAAATCTTTTGTTTGAACTGAAATTCTCTCAGAGACATAAACTCAAACAGGCACCCAGAAAGCAACATGTTATAAGATTTCATCGAAACAAATTTCCCATCATTAAAACCATCAGAACCTCAGAAGCCCCAAGCAAACTCATTTGCAAACAACCAAGAAAACCCATTAAACTGTGATGATTTAATCAGATGGAGACCCACTAGAACAAGAAAAAAAAAACTTACAAAATGAAACAGACGGCAGATATAGCGATGGCTATGTAGTCGCTGGCACAGCCACCATCCACAGCACAGCTTGCCATTTTCTTTGCATTTGGGGAAATTTTGGGTTCACCCAGTACGTTTTAAGATCTGAAATTAGAAGAATTTAGGACGCCCGCCATCCCAAGGCATCAACTTCAAGGTGTGTCCTTTTCTGGGTCCAGAGGGGAGTTCAATCGAGAATGGCAGAATGGCATGCCCACATAATGTTTGACCAGAAGGGAACAAAAGGGGAACATCTGCGGTCTTTTGTTGACAAAATCGAAGACTTAAAAAGGGTGCAAGTGTACACGTGGCTTGTTAGAAATCCATCGGATCACAGTCTTAAAAGACGCACAGAACAGAACAGACTGATACTAGTTTTTATTTCTTTTTCTTTTTTCTCTGGTTATAGAAATCGTTGAATGGGGGTCTTGAGTGAAATTAATCATGTGTTAATCAAACCATAGCTGCTACTGCTTGCAAGTAAGTGCAAATTAAGTTTAGATTAACCAATTTGAGCCCATATTGGCTATTTCAGATCATTCAGCCACACCCAATTTAAGTTGCATCAAGAAGAGATTGGGCCAAACCAAAAAAAAAAAAAAAAAAAAAAAAAAAAAAAATTAAATTTATTTATTATCTTCAATCTACATCATTCTCTCTCCTGAAGGAAACAAGAGCCAAACAATCAATATTTAAAGGAAATAAATGGGGAAGGAGAAAAACAAGAACATCTCTCTCTCTCTTTCTTGTCTTTAACCACAGCAAAGCCATTTGCTCTGCATCCAAAATGTAAATTACAGTTGAGATTCAATTCAATAGGTTAATTAGACCAACACATTGTTCACTAAAAACCTGTAATTAGGCATGCAAACCTTTTTGGGGTACTTATATTTGTCCTTCTTTCTACGGGCATCATATTTGTCTGGTGCTGCCAGAATCAATGGAGTTCCAGCGCCAGACCTTCTGTCATCTCTGGCCTTGTTGAATATGACAGTAAATCCTTCAGCTGTGGCAGGGTCGTTGACATCCCAGTCGCCAAATTTTGGTAGAGGGCCGCCTAGAGGCATGGCCTTCTCATACTGCAAATAAATAAACCAAACAAACTACCATTAACCATTGAGCCATTCATTTACCATATATATATAGCAGCACAAGCAGCAGCAATGTCATTCCTTCCTGTCATGTGATAACAATTTCCTATACCACCAAAGCAATAATCTTTTTGCAATTTGCAAAATTATGCAGCAAATGTAATAATTATCAGCAAATTTCATGATAAAACAAGTGGTGGTTGGTTGGCACATAAAAGTTAAGCCAAACAAAGCAAGGGAAAGTTTGCAACAGGGAGAGAAGAAAAGCAGAGCACCATTAATTAAAAACTTTGCAGAACGAAAAAAGGATCAATTTTTAACAAATGCAGTTGACCCAACAGAGAATATTAGGAAAGAAGAAGAAAAGAAGATAAAAAACAGAACTTACAGAAGGCATGATTGGTTAATCTGGATAGAGATTACAATTGACAGAGATGGCAGAGAGAATCTGGGTAAGGAGAAAAAGATAAGTGAGAGAGATAAAGAGAGAGAATCCCCTCTCCTGGCTTCCATTATAAAGGCATAATAAATAAATAAACAGCGGAAGAGAACAAGGTCGCAAGATTCGGAATTTCCGAGACTGGCTCTCTCTAGTAGGTGCACTTGTCTCGGACGCGGGAAAACCTCGCCGTTTGAAAAAGCGCGTTCATGGTCAACGCGGCGTCTTTGTTTTCCTTATTTGATAGTTTCTAAGAGCCATTCCACCCGTGCAGCCCAGCCCGAGGCTGCGGTTCCAGCGGAGCAGCCCAGGCCGGGGGGGGGTGTGGGACCCACCTCCTCGGGCTGGCCCGAAGGCAAGTCTTACCCGAGGTCCAAAACGCGGTGGCTGACGCCATGTCGACGTCAGGGTGACGTCGACACGCGGTAATCTAAATTTTTTTACTGTTGGCGCGTGCATTGCACGCGCCAACGGTAAAATTTTTTTGAACCAGCGTGCGCTGACGTCAGCGCGACGCAGGCCCAACGGCTGGAAGCCACGTGGCACGCCCCCAGCGCTCCGATTTGATTCCACAGCCTTCATCCAACGGCTCGCGATTTTCCAGCAATAAAATTATGAAAAAAAATCGAAATTTTTTAAAAAAAATACTAAAAAATACTTTCAAATTCTGATTTTTTTTTTCCTATAAATACCTATAAATACCCTTCACTTTCAACACCAATTCTCATACATTTTATTCTACTTCTACAATTCTTCAACATTTTTTCACTCTTCACTTAACATTTTCATCTTTTTCACATTGTATTTTTATTTCTTATTTTTATGGCTTCTTCTATTGAAACCGGAGGGGCGTGGAGCACCATGGAAGATGTTTCTTTGTGTGAGGCTTGGCTCCGAGTTTGTCATTGTCCCGTGACAGGCAATGAGATGAAATTTTTCCATATGTGGAAAAAAATTCATGCCGAATTTTGCGAAAAAATTCCGGACTCGCCTCGTACGGAAATGGCATTGTCGAGTAGGTGGAAACTTCTCAACAAAGAGATGGCAAAATGGAGAGATGCCTTGGCAAAAGCGATGAACTTGTATAGAAGTGGGGAAAATCGTACTAACGAGGTAAGTATTTTGTAATTTTCGTTTTATTAAGTTTAATGTCCTAATATATATATGTTGTTAATATTTATTGCATTTTCAATATTTTGTTAATATTTCTTGCATTTTCAATATGTTGTTAATATTTCTTGCATTTCCAATTGTTTCTTCATATTTCTTGCATTTTCAATATGTTGTTAATATTTATTGCATTTCCAATTGTTTCTTCATATTTCTTGCACTTCCAATTTATTTGTAAGGTTAATTGCATTTTCCATTATTTTTATTTTGTTACTTGCATATCCAATATATTTTAAATATTTATTGCATTGCCATTTTTTTGTTAAATAGCTCATTCAAGCACAGATGTGGTTCGGTGCAACCGGGGGTGGCAAAAAAAGGTTCACCCATCATGAATGTTGGGAGGTGGTGAAATATTGTAAACGGTTCATAATTATTCCCACGGGTCCCGACGTTGTGTTAAACGAGACGCCTCTCCGTGATTCAACGACATCGGATTCACCTCTCGATTCCCCTATGAGTGAAGACTCACCCATCCAAAAAGAACCGAGGCCCATTGGCCGAAAGGCTGCGAAGGCAAAGAAAGCGGGTAATTCAAGCAATTTTAATTCAAAGTTTTTGGAGGAAATTGCAAGGCAAAACTCCATAAGAATTGAAATGGAGCAGAAACGCCAAGATATGGAGGTGGCAATTCAAGCCGAACAATCACGAGAAAAGGAGTATTTGCGCAAAAAAGATCAGCAGAAGACGGATCGGGAAACCATGGCAATGGATACAAGTCATATGTCCCCCGAAACAAAACAATATTGGAAGCTAGAACGGAGGGATGTTATGAGAAGAAGACTTTTCCAAGATGATGGGCCTAGCAACACGGATTGGTTAAATGATCAAAACCATTAAATTAGTTGGCATACCTTTTATGTATTTTTATTTTTCATGTTTTGTATTAAAGTTGGTGTACTTCATGTATTTTATTTTAGTAGTAGTAATTCTTAATGACTTGTATTGGATTTCTTTATTTAATAAACAAAGCATTCAATAAAAGACCATTTTATTCAACATATTCCATACATCAAACATAACATAATTAAAATGAAAACAAAAACTACAAACAAGGCACAATAATAAATAAAAAAACAACACAACCAAACCATAAGCAATAGTAAACAACACAACCAAACCATAAGTAAATAAAACATAACCAAAGCATCTATGCTCCATCATTCATCTTCATTCCCTTTCACCGCCCATATATGCTCTATCAAGTCAAGTTGACGGCTTTCATGAATATACAAAGATTGCATCTCTGTATATCGATCTATCATCCGGGTCATCATACGATCGTCCCTCACCAACGGTTCCGGCTCAAACGGTTCTCCATTTGGCCCCATGGGCATTTCATAAATCCGGGTCATCGCCGTGTTTATTGGATCCGGCTCATAGACCTCTCCAGCATCATAATCGTACTCATCCTCCATAATCATATTATGGAGGATGATGCAAGTCATCATAATGCTTCGGAGGACCTCCTCATCAAACATACGGGCCGCACCTCGAACAATCAACCATCGAGCTTGAAGGATGCCAAAACACCTTTCGACATCTTTCCTGTATCCTTCTTGATAGGTAGCAAATAATTTTTGCTTATGGGATCGGGGATTCGGAATGGATTTGACAAATGTGGTCCACCTTGGGTAGATACCGTCAGCTAGATAATACCCCGTCTGGTAGACTGTATTGTTGACTTGATAGGTAATATTGGGGCCTTGGCCGCTCAAAACATCGTTGAAGACCGGAGATTGACCCAGGACGTTGAGGTCATTTTGGGCTCCGGCAACTCCGAAGAAAGTATGCCAAACCCATGTGTCGAAGCCAACAACGGCTTCCAGGATGATACTTTTTGTGCCTTTTCTATTTCCGTAATCACCTTGCCAGGCAGTTGGGCAATTCTTCCATTGCCAATGCATGCAGTCGATGCTACCAATCATTCCTGGAAATCCTCGAGCTTCGGCTTTTTGTAGAAGCCGTTGGAGGTCCCTGGGAGTAGGTCTACGCAGGTAGTCCCTAGTGTACAGATTTTCAACTGCATCACAAAATCTTACCAAAGCCTCCAACGTAGTGGACTTCCCCATTCGGGCAACCTCATCCACCTGATCAGCAGATGCTCCATACGCCAACATTCGTATAACAGCTGTAAGCTTTTGCTCCGGAAGAAGGCCCAAAACCCCAGTAGCATCACACTTTTGAACAAAGTATGCATCATAATTGCAAATATCATGCATGACTTTATTGAACAAATGAGGTTGCATTCTAAATCGCCTTCGAAAATCAACATCAGAGTACAAAGCAGTTGGGATAAAATAATCTTCCAAAAGATTCTTACCCCGAGAATGCCTATGTCTGTCCACATTCCGGCGACGGCCGACTTGTGAACCACGGCGGCGACCTTGGTTCTCTTCCTCTTCCATTGCCACTGCTATGAGAACTTGCTCATCGACTTGCCTCTGCAACTCATTGATTTCATCGGCTCTACGGTTTCTCTCCTTTCTTTCTCTCTCGTGCCTCTCCAAGCATCTCCTATATTCTTCCATTGAGAATGAATGGAGTATGAATTCTAAACTCTAAGAAATGAAAATATTGAAAGATGTGGTGTGAGAGGTATGATGTGAGCCTCTGGTTTTATAGAAAAATTTGGCAAGATAGAGATGCCACGTGGCTTGATTTGATTGGATGAAAATCTTATCTGAAATTTGAAATTCATCCGAAATTTGAACCCAAATTTATCTGAAATTTGAATTTTGAAATTCATCAGAAATTTGAACCCAAATTCATCTGAATTTTGAAATTCATTCGAAATTTGAACCCAAAAATTTATCTGAATTTTGAATTTTGAAATTCATCCGAAATTTGAACCCAAAAATCTTATCCCGAAATTTTATCCGATTATGAATAGTGTTGACACGTAGGAACCCGTAAATCTTATCCGAAAATATTATCCAAATTAATTATTGAGGTAAAAAAAATTGTGAATAAAACAAAAAAATGAATAGTAACTGCCCTTAGCTAGGGCAATGGGTGGAAACACAAAATTCTGATTTTGCAAGGGCAACCACTATTCACGTGAATAGTGGCTGCCCTAGCTCCCCCCCTTGCCATGGCTAAGGGCAACTGGGTGGAGTTGCTCTAAGGTTGGTGGTGGTGCGTTGGAAAAACCGTGCATAAGCGCGCAGCGGCTTTGGAACTTCCAAAGTTGTATTGTAATTTGTAACATAGTGCTGCTGACGGCGTCAAATTTTATATATTTATATAATTTCACTCATTTTCTAGGGGTGACATTTTAGACCGAAAAACTGAAAAACTGCAAAAACTAACTGACAATTTACCGCAACTGCAAAGTATTTGATTTTCAAAACTTACAGTTACCGCAAACCGCGACTATATTTATAAATAAATAAAAATTGCATTTTGTATATAGCATTGATGCTCAAACAACACAACGGGGTCTTTCAAATCCACTTACCACCATTAACACTTGAGTTTGTAACTTTAATTTGTAACATTGGTGCATTGCATTTTCCTTTTATTTTGTAACTTTAATTAACTTTGAATTGGATTTTTCTTTTGAGTTGTAACTTTAATTCAGATGAATGCCATGTATGCTTCTTCATGAGCAATTATGGCACGTGTTGTGATATAAGTGAGCCAAAATTAGGATTTTCCCCCTCCTCGCCATTTTTATATTCAACGTTATAATTTCTTTCTCCTGTTTGTTGCTGGGGATTCTTTTTCCCTCACTTATGGCTTATTTTCATGAACATGGAGGTGGGGGAAAGATTGATGAGAGAGAGAGAGAGAGAGAGAGAGAGAGAGAGAGAGAGAGAGAGAGAGAGAGGTTGAATGAAGGATAATTTATTAAGGCTTATTTGTTGAAATACTCTTTGTGATTTCCAAATCATCTTAGTTTGGCCCCTGAAGTTTTAAATGATTCAATTTCCCTCTTGAACTTTCAGTTTTGACGAAGATTGTCCTATTCCGTTAGTTTTCAAATATAAATCATTCAATCCTTTGACGCGGCATTAGTATTTTAGTAATTTTAATTATTAAATATTAAAAATGCTTGGAATTATTCAAAGTCAAATATGTAAAATAATAAAATAACATAAAAATTAAAAAACAAAAAAGAATGAACACAACCCTAAAGTTCTGCATCATCTTCTTCGACTCCGTCGCACCACCACCCAACTGTACACCTCAATCACATCAATAGCCTCCCACAATCAGCAAATTGATCTTCCCACACAAATCTAATGGGACATTTTGGAAAAAGCAAAAGGAGAGAGAAAAATTTTAAAAGAAGCAAAAATGGACAAAAATGCCCTTATTTATTTTTAGATTTCCTAAGGAATCCAATACATTTGCATGTCTTTGATTTGAAAGTTGAGCGGTTTTTTTGTCTTTTTTGAAAAAGCTTTGGCTTTTTCTAAAAGTGAACATTTTTTTATATCTAAAACCTAAAAAACCTCAAATTATGTAATCGTCACCTTTCTAATTCTGATCTCCAGCCATCTTAACCCAACACTTTACCTAGTCGCCCCACTCTCCATCGAAACCCCAACCCAGCCACAGCTCCCCTATGAGATCCATTCAACCAATCTAACTAATATAAAAATGAACATTGATATGAAGAAAGTGGATTCGAAAAAGATTTTGGCTTTTTCAATTGGGCTTTTGGGGGCGGTGGGAAGGTGAAGCAACTAGGTTGGTAGTAGAGGTGTCAAATAGATCGGGCCAGCCCGAGCACGACCCGCTTAAATAAGGCCCGACACTACACAACCCATATCTTTGGGCCGTGCCAAGACGAGGTAATTAGGTCCAATGGACCAAGGCGGCCCGTGGCCCGTCTTGGGCCGTGCCGGCTTGAAATCCAACTGATCAACTCGTTTAAAGCCCATTTATTAAATTATATTTATTTTAGAGAAAAATAATACATAATATTATTACATTTATATCTTAAATTCAAGTCTTTATTTTATCTAATAATATGTATTAAAATTTAATGTTTTCTTTATATATAAAATAATGATTTTGTTTTTCAAGTTTCAAACTTTAAAATCCAAACAATAATCTAGTTATTTTCTATTTAAATGTACTTTAAATAAAGTTAGTGGCCTCTATTTTCAACAAATAATAAATCTTTTAGTATATACATAATTGTAAAAAAAAAATATTACAAATGAAGTTATAAAAAAGTTACAAAAACAAAAATGCAATACATAAGTCAAATTTGGTATGGGCCCATCTCGGTTTGTTTAGTGTCCCAGAACGAGCATGGCCCAAGACCATATGGGCTTGGGCCATGGACCCATGTCGGGATGGATGATTCTCATAAATAAATGGGCTGACTCTTAACGGGCGGCCCGACTTGTTTGACACTTCTAGTTGGTAGACTGGAATGTAGAGTGGTGGGAGAGAGAGATAAGCAAGGATGGATCTAAAAAAGATCTTATCTTTTGCTTCCCTTTGTAGCAATTGGGTTGTCTTTTCTTTTCAATTTTTTATTTTATTTTCTTCTTCTTTTTTGAATTAAATAGGTGATTGGCATTAGGGGTGGGTGTGATCCAATTTCCACCTCACACTAGAATCGAAACAGGTACTATTCAACTAGTTTGGTCCGATTTTTGTGAAAAAATTTATGAAACCAGTCGATCAGGTTTAAACCGATTCCGGTTTTTCTAGTTTTGGACCATATATATATATATATATATCAAATTTTTTTATTTACAAATTCAAACTAAAATTTTATTTTTGGGCTTAAAAATTTACAAATGACCCAATTTCATGCAAAGATAAATGATTGGGTCTAAAAAAGAGAGGTGCTTTGAAGTTGGGCTTGAAAAAATATTAGTTATGGCATTGGAAATGTAGCATTGTACTTAAATAATTTTTAAAATAAATAAAAATAAACAATCGATCCAGTCATATTTGTAAGGTGTGAAATCGGCACAAGAACCGATTTGAATCGGTTTGGTCTGGTTCGGTGCCGGTTTATTTACTTTTTAGTCAACACTTTTTTTTTCTTTCTAATTTTTTCCATCTGGTGCGGCTCGGTATTCGGATTTTTCGGTTTCGATGCCCACCCGTAATTAGCGTGAAGCTTAGAAAGATACATGTGGAGTGTGACAAAAGCACTTCGATTTTAGAACAAATTTTGAAAATCAAGTGTTCTAAGAGTTGTTTGCCATTAAGAAGAGTGGGGGAAGGGGTAGGACGTTGCAGCAATGAATGGGGAGGGGAAGGTGGTTTTTTGGGGGTTGAGAGGGTCTACTGGGTTTTTTAAGTTTTTAAAAAAGTTAATTTATTTTTGGCTTATTTGTAGCAATGGTCCCTTAATTATACTCGGAGTTACATTTTGATCACTCAACTCCAAAAATAGTTACAAAGGCCACTCAATTAGGCGTTGTGTTGCACTATTAGTCCATACTGTCAAGTCTCTCTAACGTGGTGTCAATTTCATGGGCAAATTTGTCTTTTCAAGTCTACAATTTCCAACCTCCCATCTAAAGTAACTTCCTCCTGAAAAATGTCAAATCTAGCTCCAAAGAAAATCTCCAATCCCCATTTATATTTGATGAAATGCACATAAACAACACTAGATGTGTTGAAATTTTTGGAAATTCAAAGAAAATCTGGCAAAGCTCACACAGTGCATGCGCAAAGATGTCGCAGATTTCTTCTTCATCAACAAATCAGAGCCCTAGTGCAAGGAAGCTATGCGGGTGCTGAGGATATATCAAAACATGGACTTCATAAACTGATTTAAATCCTGGGAGAAGATTTGAGGCTTGTGAGATGAATCGAGTAAGTTAAAAAAACACCTATTCGCATGCGCTTCAGCGCCTGCGAGAGGGTTTTTTTTTTACAATTTAAATTTATTTTAGAATTAAAAAGATAATGGGTAGTTGTGTTCCATAAAAATTAGATTCATTATTTGATTTTCTTTTAATTTTAAATTTTTTTAATATGAAAAAGTGTGAATTTACCATATTATCCTCATTTAATTAATAATTTCAATTCTTAATGTTTGCATCCAATGACATTTTCTGGTTGTTGAGGCCCAAAAAAGTTCATGGTTGGGCCCAAATAAGTTTTTGGTCCAATACGATACTGTATTAAGAAAAGTCACATATCGGAGTACACGAAAGCTCGTCATATACAAGTCATAGTCTACGTGCCATGCTAAATAAATAATTTTCCATGCCAATGATTGAAATAATATTATAAAATACAAGCCCATGCTAAACTAAGCACCGTGTCCCTCTTCAAGGACGATAAAATTGAAGCACACCGAGCGACATGCCACAACAAACAAGGAATTATTATTACGCATCCTATCACACCACAAGCTTAAGTGGGCTCCAAGTCACTTAAATACCCGGGGCTTGCTTGAGTGGGTTGTGGTATGGATGGTAATAAATCAACATGAGGCCCATTGATGGGCCGAGAAATGGAAAGTCTCGGGTTGCTTGGGAGCCTCGGGACTTAAGCCCATTTCTTAGGCCCAATTGACAAGACCCGCCCCGAATTTCCTCGGAATCCGGGATGGACCCCGCCTAATTACCGACATCAACCTAACGCCGGGCCCACTTACTAAAGACTGAGACTTTCTACCAAAAATTTGGCAGAGTCTCCCCTGTAAATTGAACATTCCCAAACTTCAACTTGTTCAAAATTTACAGTTAATTACAACCAATTGGCAGCATATTTTACAAGCAATAAAACGATTTACAACAAAGGCCTCCGGCCTCACAAATTTAAACCCTCAGCGGGCGATACAGAGCATATCTAAGGAATTCAAAATACAACCGAAGTACCGTTTAACTGAAAGGAAAAAGCACCAAGAGTTTCTACGAAGACTCGAGTTCCAAGATGCACCCGGTCCTGCTCAACTGCAGAGCTCAGTCGCTACTGGCTGGGGGCGCAAAATAGAAAGTTGTGAGTGGACAAAAATCAAGTTCAATTCAAGTGAAAACAAAGTAGTATAACCCCCACCTTTATCAAAAACATGCAATGAAACCATAAGCATAACAGAACCATCAGAAACAGTATATAAACATACACTAACACATATATACCGGATCTCAAATCCGTAATCCATGAATAATACTTCACGAAACCCACCACTCAACTTAAGAGTCCCGAGAGATTAGATTCTCGTAAACGTACTCAAAGGTACGACCGGCGAGGAAGTATCCTGACCGGAAAATAGAACGAGGGAACATTCATATATATATATATACATACAAATATATACATAATAAAAATATGATATAGCATAATAATAATAATAATACTAATAGTATATAAAGATAACCAATATTTAATTGTACCGGGGAAACAATCCAACCGGGGGACTGTTTGACTAGTCCACATGGCAGAGCCATTCCTCAATTCACCATGTGTCTAGGGAACAAGCCGTCCAACTGGGGGACTAACTCTCAGCCAGCACGTACAGCCGACACAGTCAAAGCTTGTACGCCTGAAATACCAGTCCTACGCGCGCAGACTACCCCAAATCCAGGGTCCACAGCAACATCCCCTCAAGGATGTCCTGAGTTCTAATAACTCCAATATTCGTCACCAAATTCAGATCAGGGGAGGTACATAAATTAGTGCTTAACGCACTCCAAATAACAAATCCAACATTACCTTTCCATAGTTCATATTAACCACCAAGTACCCCATGCATAGCCGCATGTACATATAGCTTCTCAAAATTCAAATATCAATATAAGTTTTATGAAAACCTCGAATTCTCATTCGAGCGTATATAAATAATTAATAGACATAATAAAACAATATGCCATATTTCCATGAATAAAATCATACTGAGTTTCAAAAGAAAAGTCCACTCACAAGTAGTCCCACAGCTTGACCCTTAGAGGGTCCCGCCTGCTGCGTATGCTGGGTCGGAGTACCTGATTCAGAATACGAAAATGCGATGAATATCAAGCACTTCAAAACAGAACTTTAAAATAAAACCCTAGCTTCCCGGGAGTTCCTATAGGTTTTACGAGGTCTAGGATACACGTCCTGTAAGTTTGGTCCGAAACGGACGAACCGCTCACGATCGCACGATTGGACGGTTACTGAAACCCTCACCCTAGGGTTGGCATTTCCGGAGTATTCGGGACTCCGTTTTACGATCCGTCGAATCCTACACGATCCTACGGGTATCCAGAGGAACATACTTCAATTTGAAAACGATCCAACGGTCAGAACATGTTGAACCCGAATAACGCACAATATGCGATAATTCGTTCGATAGTCAAACGACCTTGGAATCGAGATCCGTGAAATCCTATGCGCTCGTGACAACTTAAAGATCACATTGGAATAGTTTGCAGCTCCACCACACTTGCCCACGCGCCGGCAGCAAGCGGGTGTGCAGAGAAATTCCGACGACGGAAAATCTCCAAATCACAAGTCACCCTCCCGGCTACAGGTCCTACTCAACTAGGGGAGCACTTCATTCAACTACGGCCAAGCCCAAAACCACCGGGAACTGGCCGGAATTTCGAATTGAAAACCGGCCAAAACCTAATTCGAAAATAACTTCCAAAACCTCAAAATCGTTTCAATCCTAAGCAACAGGCAGCTAGAACAGATAAAAAGAATGAGAAAACTCACCTTTAACACCGGAAAAGGACGACTGAAGCAGTGGTGCAACGATTGGAAAACCTCCGATTCGAACCAGTCGCAACTGTCGGCGGTTCTCGAGCTTTACGTTCGGGATTTTGGGTGGGTCAGGTCCGGGACTTCACTACGAGTCGAACGGAACCGGTCTCGAGGGCTGGGGTGGCCGGATGTGATGGCGGCGTGGATGTGGTGGCGGCGTGAACAGAGACGAGAGGGAGTTCGCGGGAGAGAGAGAGAGAAAAAAAGAATGAAATGAAATTGAAGAATCTGATTTTTACAAATACCCTTTTTGAATTATTTACGATTTTGCCACCGAAAGAAATTTCATCGCCAAAACTTCATTATAACTCCGATTCCAGCCTACCGCCTGTCTACGAATTCATCTCAGAACCACCTACGCAACTAAACCACTTGTGGTCCCAAAATCCTTCCGGACAAGAAAATGACCAAAATACCCTACCCCAAGGGTAGTTTCGTAATTTCACAATTAATTTAATTTTAACCTTTTGAATTGGAATATTAAATAGAGTCGGGGTGTTACACCAATTATGTGGGTGAGCACAAAAGAGGAAAAAATAGCCCAATAGCACAATCAAAATAGCCTATTGAATCAACCAAAAAGCCAAACGTTTAATAAAAATAGCCTACTTACTTAATGAACCACCTTATCCCATGCAATTGCCACAAATGAGCCATAAAGGCCCTAGCACCTGGCTGGAAGAACAAAAGCCACGAAGAGGAGGCCTGAAGATTCATTGAACAAAGCTGCTGGGAGATTCCAGTACATGGGGGGAGCAAGTTTCAAAGCAAAAAACATTCGAGAAACCAAAGGATATTAGCACGTAAGCTGCCAGGAGGAGAAGCACCCTTCAAACTAGCATGTACACCCATTTGCTTTCCTTCATCAGATCTGGCTAGGGAATAAGGAAGGAAAGAAGAAGAAAAATAGCTAAGAATGGAGCCTCCTACTGAACAGCTATGGGAAATGGGGCCTTGAGCTCCCAAAATTCCTGATTTTGTGCAAATAGATAAAGGAAATTTGACCAAGATAGAAAAAGTCAAAGGAGGAGAGGAGAGGAGAGAGAAAGGAAAAGCTTGGCCAAGTTGGGAAGAAACCATTAATGTTTCTTGGGAAGAGATGGTTTCCAACGGCTATAAAATGAGGCATCTTCTACCCAACAGGACCAACCCACACTGAGAGAGCAAGCTTTCTCTCTTACCTGCAAAAATCTAGCAATCTCGTGCACTATTCACCCCTCTTCTCCATCTTCCTTTTCTGGCAGACAGAGTATCTGTCAAGCTGCTGGAAGAGCATTGTTCTTTATTTCTCTCTTCCTAGCAAAATCTCCTACGAATCTCTCCTTTGTCACCTTAACACTTTCCTTTTCCCCCCTAAGAAAGCCTAAATTTCCCTTCAGTGCTAAACTCATGTTGATTTTGCTTCCATGCCACATGCCTCTCATGCCAAGCTCAAAAGTTTATCTATAAGCATGCAGAAATTACCTGTAAGTTGCTATTGTTTTGGCTGGTGAAGGTAACCAAAATACGTCCTAAGGCTCTGCTGCCCTTTTGAAGTATTTTTGGGGCTTAATTTTTGAACTTAGACAAAGGGGACAATTTCATCAGTTTGCCCTTTACGGCAACCCAGCTCATTTACACCTGTCGGAAGAAAAAGTCCCCTACACTGGTATTTTGAATGTTTTACCATTATAAAATCAGTCCATAACCAACCAAATAATAGAGAAAAGAAAATGTTTATAAGTAATTAGAAACCAGGGTTTTTAGGTTCAATGGTCCCTAAATTTTGACCCGATTCATATTTTGGTTCTTTAATTTCCAAAATCATTTATGTGGTCCTTCAACTTTAGATTCGTTAGGACAAATGGTCTTGCCATTAATTTTGTTGACCTTTTATGTTAAATTTGAGCATATGCATGGCACATGATGTACTGTTGAGGGTCAAAATCGAAAATATCTTCACTCCTTGGTGTGACTCGTGCATGGCGAACTTTTGTGTGCTCCAAGTCGTTTTTTTTTTCTCAATAAGATATTGCGTTGGGCCGAGAATTCATTTGGGCCAATTCGTGGATTTTTTGGGCGTCAACACTTGGGTACATGGGCAATTCCTGGCGTACCCAAACCCCACACCCACTCTCCCACCGCTGCAACTTAACTCTCCCCATCCATATATCTCCCTCCACTCCATTCCCAAGCCAAGCCCATTAAAACCCACCACCAATCGAGGAATGATATATCTCCTTTCCTCCAATCCAACAAAGCCATGAGTGGGATGGTGAGAGTGAGGGTGAGGAAGTCTTGGTGGTTGTTGTGGGTTGTGTGTGTTTAGGTGGGGTTGGGTTGGAGGGGTTGTGGCTACTGTGGCAAGGATAGGAAAAAGGTCTTTTAGTTTTTAGTTTTTAATTTTATTTTTTTAGTGATAGAAATATTCAAATATTGTAAATTAAAAATAATACAAAAATACTATTTGCCCATGCATTTAACAAAAAATATAACAAAATTGACGGAGATTAAAGGACCACATGAATGATTTTGAAAATTGAGAGACCGAAATGCGAATCGAATCAAAGTTCAAAGATGATTAGAGCTAAAATTGAACCAACCCTAAAATTGACGGCGGAGCACCATCAACTGCCTGCAGCCAAATAATTGAACCAATCCTGTCGTTCGATAATTTTTATACAAATTTATAAATAAACCCAATCCTAGACATGTATTTATAAAAAAACCCAAGCACTATTTAAACATAGAAACACACCCAAAATCAACCCCAAAATCAACAATTGTATAGTTTTTGGGTGTGTTTATAAATAGGTTTTGATTGTGTATAATGATGGGTTTTGGGTGTTGGGTTATTTTATAATTTCAGCCCCCATTTTGAATGTTTTAGTGAAACTCCCTAATTTTTAAGCAGTCGTCTTAGAAGCGGGAGCAAACGGTGTCATTTGATAAAAGTGCATAGTAATTAATTCTCAAGCGTGGCGTGGATAATTTTCAACTGTTGTTGAGGGATTTATTTGTCAAGTAAGAAGACACGTTCTTGCTCCTATAATTCTTGATCCCCATGTTTTTGTTAGAAATTAATTTACCTATATATTTTGTCTCTAGGTAAATTACTGAACTTGCAAATCTTGGTAACTTAATTTACATATAAGTATAGGTAAGTTAAATGTGTAAATTAGTGTAGTTTAGAATATTGTTTGTAAAAAGAAAAACATCGGTTGATAAACTTCTACATTGACTTCACTAGTTTGAAGTTGTAGGCTTCCAAGTCAAAAAAAATTATGTACGCTTGTTGGCAAATGACAGTCTTCTCATATCCGCCGTGGTGAATCTGATCGGTAGCGCCATAATATCCCTCCCACCAAATTGTTCACTGCATGAGCAGCCATTGGCACGATAAGGCTGGAGGAGACGATGGTTGCATAACCATACACAAGCCCAACAAAAGTTGCCCTGCAACACGGCAGAAAATCATCAATCACTGAGCTATATTTTCAACACACAACTTTCATGGAGAGTTCAACTCCATAAATTTATTTCCATAAGTTGCCATTATATGGCAAGTCTTTTTGCACTGTGATCTATTCGATATAAGAAATGGGAATTCAGATAGGTAAGGTTGAAAACTCATTTGGTGTTAAAGCTGTTCATATCTAACAATGGCCTGAATGGAGCATTTAAGTACTTGGATAGAGATACGAAGACAAGTACCAAACGGCAAAGGAATACTTTCGGCCACTCCCCAGGTGTAGAACACCAAAAATGATGGCGACGGCCAATGCACTCCTCCAATTAGATCCAAAAAGTGGTAGCAGTGCACCCCGGAAAAGAAGTTCCTGCCCAACCAATGCACCATGAATTAATGCAAAATGAGTTGAACAAACAAGAATGGTAAGCTACTACAATGTGATGAAATGTATTTGCTTACCTCGCTAATCCCAGGCAAAAACGCGACGATTATGTAATCTAAAGGTTGAAGTGAACTGAGGACCTAAGTTACAAGAAAAGATGTATGTCAGAGATGCAGAAGCAGCTATGGAATACTCTCACTTAAAGGGATGCTAACAAGCAGCAATGGGGAACTGAGTTACTATAATCAACTAGGCTCTTTTGTGTCTGATTATACAAGTTTTAAATGCCGTAGAGACAGTTTACTCAATATGTAATCCAGAAATCTAATTAGCTAGTGTTGTGGAGACAACTATTGACTGCATATCATTTACGGCAAACTCTTCTGAGTCCCTGCAGATGTGCTAGAGCAGAAAGTCGATACCTGCTGATTGGCAGCTTTGCTAGATTCTGCAAAATCTGGCCATGTCTTCAACAAGAGATATCGGCATAATGATATAACAATAACTAATCCTGTAATCAACTCAAGATACCACACCTCAAAATCAACTGCAGAAAAGGGGATAAAAGAGTTATGATCTTTAAACTAATGAAACAACTAATCCAGAGCCAATGGCATAAAAAGCTGAAACTAAAAAGGTTAAAGAGAAGAAAGCAATGGAAATTTGATCTTGCAGTGGCATGGGTTTTCCTCCATTATCTACAGAGTATTCAATTAATGTTTGTCATATATACTTCTTTTTGGGGCCATAGTAATCTATATCCTGTTATAAAAAGCTCAGCCACCTATTGGTCACCTACGTTCAATATGACTCATCTATATGGCCTTTCCATGAAGCTATTTGTCCTTTAAAATAAGACTTGAGGTTGAGACAACCCACTCTGGACAAATCTTGCTTATAGGCTGTCTCTTTGCCAAAGATGCAGGTGCTCCTTCTCATCAAAGAGTATGAAAATAAACTTTCCATTGACAATTCTTGCATCGAGAAGAGTAAGTGAAAGTTCATACATGATATGTCCAATGAGCAGTCAAAGACTGGCAATCCTTCAATTGATGCAACATGAGATGCCTGCAAGTTGCAGATAGGTCATGACTAGTCGATGGTCGGGGGAAAATGTTGATTTTATCAGACAATATGAACTTTTGTACATAAAATAACAGAAACAAGGGCAATTGGGTCATGGGAAGAAGAGAAAGTGCAGTGCAGTGTGTTCTATAAGGTCCAAAATGTATATCCAAGTCTATAAAAAACCTGGCCTATGATCCTGTTCTCTTCGTTTAAATAGTCCATCAAAATATACTGCCTAGTAGAAGAAGAAAGGAAATAAAAGAAGTTCTCAAAAAGGTAAAACAGGAAAACAAAAAGAGTTTGTTCACACACAACCATTAGAAACTAAAAAAGAGGCAAGAATGTAAAAACTATTAGGTGGACCTAAAAATTCAACAAAAAACATAGATCCAAGAAGACATTAAGTAAATCATACCTGTCGAATTATTATACCCAATGCGGCTATCAACCCAGAAGTAACAGTGCAAGCCTGAAGCACAGCCCCTCTGGGAGGGAATACAACCAATTCCTCTGCAGTTAAATTATCAGAAGGGTCCACCTTCTTGTCAATTTGAACATAATCATCTTCAGAAGCAGTGCTCTTATCTGCTACTCTTTTCCGTGCTTCTCCGTCCCTCCTCAATTTCTTCACCGAATTCCGACTTGCAAAAGCTCTAGGGCTAATTGAAACTCCCTGCCATGACAGAAACGCACAACTGTATCAATATTATAGTGAATGAAAAATCGAGTGTTTGTCTTAAGATTATAGTTATAGACCAAACAGTGTAGAAATGAAAGCCTCACACTGCATAATTTGGCAGGTAAAACCTTCTGCGCATCATAAAGGCCAATCAAATTCCCACCTGTCCAAATGTTTCAACTTTTGTACAATCAAGCAAGAAGCAAAATAATAAACGCCAACCAAGAACTAAGCAAAATGATGCATAAGATAGATAATAGTGGGTTAATCTCTTAAAACCAGGAGAAACCCAGAAACATAGAAACAAATTCAAGCAGTGTGAAAAGACTAACTGATGAAGATAGAGCTTCCCCAACTCAATGGGGTTGTAAAGGCGGCATTGTTTACTGTAGACCGCCAAATGTTCACAGCGAGCGAACCCATTCGATAGTAGCAGGCAAGGGCAGAGTCCGGTTAAAACCAATTTCCTAAATTCAACTTCACCAGAAAAACCAAGTCCATAAATTAAATTGAAGCTCGCTTAGATTATTCATTTGGACAACAGAAAAAATGGCAAGTGAAGATTAAACGAACGAACCTCTTTAGTTTTGCGTGGAATTATGCACCTCTTTGAGTGCTCCTTAAAGAGAAAAATCTATTAAAAATCCGGTGCTTAGAACTGTTTTATGATTAATTTTGTTTGTTTGTTTTTTTTGTGGTTTTGAGAATATACTGCTGCTGCCACGTGTATCATTGAAGGTAGCAGGAATGAGAGGCCATGCATTTCTGGTGTGCCCATGTGTTTTACGGTTTCTAAATCCGGTCTTTTGCATTTATCAAATGACAATATATAATAAAATCCAGTATTTTGGGAAGCGTATGGCAAGGCAAGGGCAGATTAAATAAAAGAATTATGCTGGTTAGTAATTGGTGTTACCACTGTAATGTAAAAAATATGCATAAAGATTGAAAGTACTGTGTCGCTAGATTCACTACAAAGATTTCTGGTTCATCTGTCATATATCAAACTACGATTAAACAAAACAAATAACCGACAAAAGTGGAAAAAACAATTTCCACGGCCATAGAGCCATTTGATCCTCTGCAACCTAAAAATGTGATTGCAGAGAATTAACTTGGGGACGGGACATATATGCAAGGCGAAAGAGAAGAATGACAAAAAGGCTATGATACATTTTGCTTGCAGACCCAAAATGAGAAACAATCAGACTTGGTTACAAAATGGTTCCCAGCAGCCACAGATGCAAGAAGAGCCAGTAGGCAATTAGGCCTAGCCTTGCCCTTGGCCGACTCATCAAAACTCGACCACCAGATACCCTGTATATATAGAGAATGAAGCACCTTAGTAAAGCTTTCCTGTAATGTATTTCCGAAAAAACTAAAAAATATAACCTAGCAGGAATTGGTATTATCCATCCCCACCCTCTTCTTTATGTAATAAGTTTAAAGTTCAGCACTTTACCAAATTCCATCAATTCGATCTGCAATCGACTTTCCTTGTCTTGGAATGAGACCAGATGCATTGAGAGACGTGAATACATGACCTGGAAGAGGGCAAGAAAAGAAAAACAAAACAAATAAGTTTACCAGGCCTTAAAACTACTAGGAATGACAGACAAATCCTAAAGTGCAAACCTTTGTCCTCGTCAGTTTCTGCACTGTTGATTAAACGAGTAGATTCAGAACCAATATCAATTGTGAGATGGTCAGTTGAACCCTTCCGCATAGTTCTTGCATGAGCTGCAAATGGTACAGGAGATATTGTGTTCTTTCCAACTGGCCCCTGAATATAATTGATTTACAAACAACTTCAGTTCTTACGTATGCATGAAAATATTTTATAAAGATGTTGAAACAAAACTACTAACACATTTCATCTTCAAAGCACATATTCCTCAACACACAACTAACTTGATGAGCCTATACCTCAATCACCTACTGAAGTTTATATTGATTTTACCTTAAAACACATTAACTGGAAAATAATGGCATCACATATCAGCCGTTCAAAATAAATCAAGAGACAACTTTGCAGAAATGTATAGTGGAATCATATAAATCAATATTTACCACATCTTCAATTTCAGATATCTCGGAACCAGTAGGCAACGAAGGTGCTTCAAAGATGCTCCTTTCCTGAACAATCTCTTGCTGAGCAGGCCTTCCTTGATGTGAATCTTGAAGTACATTAACCTTGGTTGATAATTCCTCCACAAACTTTTGGCTCTCGACCAACTTAGTACCAAGTTCCTGGGCTTTTGATTTTGAATTTTCAGACTCCATTTGTAAAGCCATAACCTGCTTCTCTAATACTGATAGAAGTCCCATCACACCAGAAGATTTCTGGTCTCCAACTAAATCATTACCTCCCGATATATCTATAATTTTTTCCAAACTATATATGAGCACAGACAGTTCGCTTTTCATCTTCTCTGTATCTTTTCTATCTCTGTCATAATGTTCAACCTCCTCCTTCAGTTGTCCAATTTCAAGCATCCTAGTCCCAAGAGTTGACTGCAGTTCTTCTTTTTCATGAGACAATAAGTTTATTTGATTCTGAAGGTTAATAATATTATCAATAACATAAAAGAGCTTCTTTACATGAGCTGAATCATGCAGCTCCAAATTTCCTACTTCTGACTCTGGCATAGGGATTTCAATCCCTCTGATCTTGTCAAAGAGGGTTTTGACTTCAGATGCCGACAGGAGGGAGTCTTCAGCCTCTGAAACAAGAAAATGTGAACAAATGAGTCATTAGAGCACTTACAGTCATTAGAACAGCAAAGTAGATATGTTCAGCAACATCATGAAAAGGAAAGAAAAGATTTAAGATATTTACCTTGTTCTTTCATTAGCAAAGTATTGTACAGGATTTGAGCTTCTGCCTCCTTTTCCTTAAACTTATCCTCTTTTGCTTGATAATCCTCTAGTCTAAGCGTCAGCTTGCTGCATGAATGCTGTAACGCTTCTATATCAGCATCCAACTTGGAAATCCTATTTTGTCCTAGATCCCTTTCTTCCATGGCTTTTTCAGAAGTTGTCCTAGCTTCTGCCAGTTTATTCTGTAATGCTTCTATATCAGCATCCAACTTGGAAATCCTATTTTTTCCTAGATCCCTTTCTTCCATGGCTTTTTCAGAAGATGACCTAGCTTCGGTCAGTTTATTCTGCAAATTTTCAATTGTAGAGGCTGCCACTTCACTTGTGCTCTCAAACTGTTTAATCAAAGCTTTAACTTTTCTAATAGAAACTGACAACATTTCTGCTGTTTTTCCATATTTGCTGCCGTCTAGAGCTTGCTCATGTGTTTCTGTGGCCTCTTCAGCAACTACTCCTCTTTCTGGGGACAAATAATGTCTTAAATCTTCAAGCTCAGGAACAGAGCTCAATTCAAGTAAATTGTTCTTGACTTCAAACTGAAGTTCTCTGGTAGCATCAGTACATGCAGAAAGTAGAGACTTGAGATCATTTTCTAAAATGGCTATTGTATTCTCCAGTTCCTGTTCATATATTTCCAGATTATTTGCCTTTCGTTTAAAAGATTCCGTGTGCTCAACCACAGTTACTACTTCATCCCTTATTGCCTTTAATTTTCTCAATAGAGTTGCAATAAACTCATCTGTAGAAAGAGAGAAGCGTTCAAAATTTTCTGCAAGAATATTGTTTCGCAACTGGAACCTTTCCACAGTCTTCTTCAAACATGAAGACACATCTTCGACATCTGTAACATTGTCCTCACCATTATCCTTTTCAACACTGGAAATACTGTTAAGACCTTCTGAGAAAGATTTTGCCACATATGAATCCTCCTGGAATAAGTAATAAAAGGAGCTCGTTAGAAAACAAAAAGAAGTCGAGTTCTTCTTGAAAACATCATCCGTTCTGACAGAAAATAAGAGATCTTCACAAATATTTTGAGTCATTGGGGATTGTTCATCATATGACATTCTAATTATAAAAGAATTTGATTTTATCAGAGCCAAAAGAAAAAACTAATATCAAATTTGAGGAACATGTTCGATTGGCATGTCAACATAGAAAAGGCGAGATCTAAATGCAGATAGATTCTGGTCCACCAACATAGCGTGCACAAAAACAAAAATAAAGTGAGCACTAAAGAAGAAAACTTATTATATACCTCTAATACTTGGTGTCTTTGCAAGTCTTCTAAACCCAAGGAAACACAATGGTTCGATATATTTTTAAGAATCAGGTCCATATCTTTCAGGCTCTTAAATTTCTTCCCAAAACATCTTTTCATAGTGGACAACAGAGTCTCATCCTTCATTAAGAGTTGAAGTTTATGAAAGTCACCACTGAACTCTTTGGACCTGCTTTCTATGCTGCCCTCAGTTCCAGACAACTCTTCCATGCATGCATTTAACTTGGAATTAAGTGTTAATATTTCCTCTTCAGCATTTTTCTTTCCACCTTCAAGTACGGTAATATCATTCCCTGCCTTCAGCAATGCATCTTCCAGTGATTTTATGGTTGCATGGGCATCTGCTAGCTTGTTATCATGGAACCTAGCTTCCTCTTGGAGTTTCTTTAGCTCAACCTCTAAATCGGTTCTACCAATTTGAAAATCATTGTTTTGTTCAGTAAGTAAAGAAACATTGGCCTGTGCCTGCAATAGGGAATCTTCAAGCAACTTTATGGTCTTGTAGGCCTCTGTTAGTTTGCTGGTCTGAATATCAACTTCCTCCTTCACTTTCTCCAGCTCTGTTTCTGCAGTAGCTCTACTGACCAAAGCCCCTTCTTTTTCACTGACGAGCACAGATACATTATTTTCTGCAAGTGACAATGCCTCTTCCAGTGACTTTTTAGATGCACAAACCTCACCAAACTTGCTAGCCTGGGCCATAGCTTCTTCAATTGCTTTCTCTAACTCTTTTTCAACATTGGTCTTATCCACTTCTATTTCCCTCTTTTCTTCAGCAAGTTGAGATATATCATTCTTTGCAACTGACAATTCATCTTCCCGTGATTTTACGGTTGAGTCGGCTTCTGCTAACTTAGCAGCCAGATTACTGGCTTCCTCTTTTACTATCCCCAACTCTCGCTGTGCATTTGCCTTGGCATCCTGACATTCATTCATGTACCCTGCAAGCCAGTTTACCTTTCCCACAGGCTCTTCAAAAACTGACTCAATAGGAAGAATAATGGCATCAATAGATTCAATTAGTCTCTGTAACATGTTATTGCTCTCCATTAAGAACTGTTCAAGTTGATCCCGTTGTTCCTTCATAGAAACAAGATCAGCATCTAACTTTGTGATGCGATCTACATCAGTAGACAAACTACTTATCTTATCCCTGCATTCAGCAAGTGCAGATTGTTGCTGCTGTAACTCAAGCCTTAACTTCTCAATTTCCGAGTTCTTTTCATCCAAAAGATGTTTCAAGTTTTCCCGGTCTTGAACCAGTCCCTTACCTTTCTTGACTGCCATGGACAACTTCTCCCTTAGCACAGTATTTTTCTCCTCTGATCGTTCAACATCTTTCTGCAGGGACCCTTTTTCCTCTTCCAATGCTACAAGCTTTTGAGATACTGCCTGGAACTCATTTGACAGATTATTCACCTCTGACCTCACCAGCATCTCCTCTTCTAGCATATTCTCATACAGCATCAACTTCTGATCCCTTACATACAGGTGGCTTTGAATTGTTTCAAACAACTCAGCATCAACCTTTGGAGAATCAAGTAAGGCACTACTCTGTTTTTTTATCTTGCCAATGCATCTGTCAATGAGCAAGGCATTGTCCAAGGAAGGCTGATAAACCTCTTCATTGTCCACCACAACTCCAGAGGCATCAAGTAACATCCTGATCATCTCAGCCTTCTCTAAAGACACCAGTTGCTCTTTCTTGACAATATCTTGGTATTCGGATGTCAGAGTGTCCAGCTCTGCTTGGAGATATTCCTTTGCCTGCAATTCAGCTGAAAGTGAATCAGTTAATTGGTCGATATTTTTCCGTGCCACTTCCTTAGTTGCAGTAATTTCATCACGCAACATGATCACTTCATCTTTGGCCTGAGAAAATGATTCCCTAAGCCAATGTACTTGAGACTCTAAGTTAGAAGATGAAATAACTTCTGGTAGATCAATTGCATACATAGCAGCCTTCAAGCTTTGGAATTCCAGGGAAATGGCCTTGAGTTTACCATTTTCATCCATAAGCCATCGAAGTCTCTCTAGAACACCCATAGATTGAAGTTCTTCGGGTACACCGCTGTGAGACAAAATTTCCTCAAAATTTTCAAGAATTATATTTTTTTGGGATAGTATTTCTTGCAGTGATGCAACCGAATTTTCACTTCTAAGTAATTCCTCCTTGCTTAATTCAGCAGCTTCAAGTGCACTTGATTTCTCTTGCAATTCAATGAAACACTTCTCAAGCTCACTCATCTTTTCAGCAAGGGACTGTTTCAATGAGTCCCTTTGCTGTACCAATGCCTTGCCTTTTGTCACAGCCATAGTAAGCTTCTCTCTTGTATTAGCGCACCTGTTATTCTCCTGCTCCAGCTCCATTTTTGTTTTTCCTAGATCTGCACTCACTGTCTCAACAATCCCTTTTTGATTGTCAAGTTCTTCAATCAATTTCCTATTTTCATCTTCTAGATGGCTCAATCTTTCAACAAACTCTGCTTCCTTTCTTTTGAGCACAAGTAACTCATTACGGACAGTAGCAAAAATCCCCCCTAACTCCTGCGAACTAAGATCTTCCCTGGCCTCCGGCAAACACTGTCTAAGTTGTTCAATTTCTGAAAGCATCTGGGTGAACTTCTCAATTAGCATAGAAGTGCCTTCCTCAACATGTACTAATTTTCCACCAATAGAACCATTCACCATCTCTTGTTGGTCAATTACACCCCTAAGGGAAGCCAACATCCTGTTTGTTACAACTTCAAAATGTGCATCCTTCTCAATCTGAGCCTCAGATGATACTTCCGCAGACCTCTGAGCAGAATTCAAAAAAACTGCGACAACATCATTCAATACTGAAAATTCATTGACCTTCGCATTTAGTTCCTCAATTTCTTGATCCTTCTTAAACACAAATCCATCAAGCTCCCTTACCGCAGCCTCAGTCTGCAGTTGTTTTTCTAAAGCCGTTTTAACAAGCCCAGAACACTCGTTCATCAACTCACTCCACCGGGTACCAGTACCGTTATAATTTTCCACACTTTCTGCCTCATGAATAAAATTACCACTTTCACCAAGCGATGCCTGTTGATCAGTGAGAGCCTTCAGCTGTAACCGAAGAGTAGCAACTTCTCTGGCAAAAGCCTCCCTTTCTTCCTTTAGTTAAACAAAAAACAACAATTATTACCCAAAACACAAAAATTACTTGAAAAGCATCGATCTTTTTGTATTAAAAAAGAAAATTATCGACCTCGAATTGGCGCGCAAAACTTTCTTTCTCATCAACTGTGCTTTCCAGCAAAGCACGCAGGCGTTCCACCTCATCCATGGCGTAATCGTCCGAGCAATCAACAAACTCCTCTTTCCCCGAGTCCTCTGTCACTTTCCCGTTATCTCCCGAAACACTGTTATCATCTTCTACCGGGACCGTTACCGGTGGCACGGAGCCTAATTCCTGCAATTAAAAACCGATACCCTAGCTTTATGCAACAGATCAAATTGAAACGAGACCGTCACAAATTGCAATTCTCAGAATTCAATTACCTGATTCACTAGTCCAACGACGTCGTCACGAATTGCTTTTGAATCTTCGGCTAACCCATTTGCAATTTGGCTGCTTTGAATCCCTTGATCTCCCTGTGCCACAGCTGCAGAACCTTCCTGAACCTGCCCTGAACCACGGTTCTCAGGCATCGCAATGGCTCATACCCTAATCGATATCTTCTCCGCAATAAGGCTCGGATCCGAAATCCAACAAAAAACACGCTATGAATCCCTAAATCGGCAGAAATCAATCCAAGAGCTATAAATTCGTCCGGGGCCGAAGTTAAAACCCTAGGAATGGAGATTGAAGATTCGGGAACCGACACGGAATTATCAAATTTGACCCGTGGATTTCCTTAACAGTACAGAAGAAGTAGGTTTACGAATCGGATTGTGTTGGATTTGAAGAAGACGAACCACTTCCGGTCCGGTGGTGTATCTGATCTTTGCAGGGACTCTGCCTGAGGAGCTGACTAAAATTTCCCTGCTCTTACTCGCGCGCGCGCTCTCTCTCTTCGTCTGTCGGTCTCTTTTACTTTTCTCCGTTACTTCTTCCGTTATTTTTACTGTACAAGGACCACCGTTACTGTTTCATTCTAGCTTCCTCTCCTTTTACTTGATGAAAAATTAATGTTGGTATGGTGCGACTGTTATATTAAAAAATTTATCTTAAGGTGCAATAGAATTTCTTTTTTGCTAATATTATTAATTTTTTTTTTTTTTTTTTTTTTACATTATTAATCTATCTTTTTTTTGTTGTTGGAAATTATTAAATAATCTTTAGTTATATTAGCATGTGTTGAATTTAAGTTATAGTTTGAATTTTATATAACAATTTACATGTGAAATATATTCATAAGTCAAGCGAAGAGAACAAGGTTACGCAAGGCAGATTTGGGTATTAACAACAAACAGTTGGATCCAGTACTTCATCTCTATGCTGAGAAGACTTTCAACTTTGCTACATTTAAGTGTTCTAATAGATTTACAAAAATGCTTCCTTTCTTTGTTCGAGGACTTTTTTATTTATTAAGAATGACGATAATATATTAAACTCACAAACATAACAATAGGGATGCTAGGACCCGACAAACTGCACACTTTTGAAAGGTTACAAAAATTTGGAAGAAAGTCTCAAATTCGGAATTGTTTATAATTTAAAAATAAAACAAATAAAAGAACTGGTGCAAACAGCCTGAAAATTTGTTCTTTTTTAATTGTCTGGTTGTAGTAGGGGAATCTTATAGACGGTACTATAATGCTGCTAACAGATGAAGGTCACGGGATTAGCTAAGTGTTGGTTGGTATTAGTTTTCAAAACAATAACGATGTTTTTGTGTTTTAAACGTTTCTGGCAGTGCTGATTTTTTTTTTCTTTCTAGTATTATTATATCTTGCATTCCAAACAGACCTGGAAATTGTTTCAAATGTGTCAAGTGTTCTAGTAAGCAAATGTAAAAAAAATCTTAAACGATTTGATTCAATTTATAATTTTATATCTTGCATAACAAAGAAAGAAGATCAAACCCATTTTGCCAAATTGATGATGCCTCTTCTCCCAAATGAAAGTCAAGTGGTTCACCAAAAGCAGCACAGCTGCAGATACTTCACATGTAAAGAACTGATACATAAGAGCTTTTACCAAAAGCTATTTCAATATGGCTGCAAGTTTCATTACCTGATTCTATGGTGACTAGCTTCTGAGAATTTGCTACAGAAAAAGAACAATCATGTGCACAAATTGAAATCAAAATGGTGGCCACATTTATGACAAATCCACTCTGGCACAACTCAGATGTGAAGCCACACCACAATGAGTTTTACATGGGTTTTCTCCTCAGTAACTTTAGCCATTCAACAAGGGTACAAGTTACACGATTGTATTCCCTCATTAACAAGTGTATTTACATGTGCTTATTAATGGATTTTTAACAAGTCAGTAAGGTAATAGAACTCAGTTCTGAAAATGAAAACTTTGATATTACTAATGATGTGGTAGTCTTACACTGGCTTCTAAGTTTTAAATATGCATAGCACTGGGAACTGTTATTTTGTGTAAAAATCCAATAGAAGTTCCTTACCGGATTCTATTTACATTTGACAGGAGGCTCTTTTCTATCTGTACACCATCGTTTTCTTAGAACAAATTAGAGTACTCATAATACACCAAGAAAAGGGCATCTGGGTAATCTTTTGGCAGGCTGTTGATATAGAGGTAGAAACGCAACAAATCCTCCTTAGAAACCGTTTCAGTGTCAACCACATCTTCATTGCAAGTGAGCACCCATAAGTCTTGAGAATTAACTCTCTTTATATTACCGCGACAAAAAGGGCAAGACTCTGACTTTCGATTCCTGCAATTTAGAAACAAAACATTTCATGTGCAAAGAATAAATGAATCTTTAGAAAAACAAGCAGTCATGATAAAAGCAAAATATAAGGGATACATATGAAGGCTTGTACTTACCAATTGCGGTAGCATTTGATGCACATTGCATGACAGCAATTAGGCAAGACCACTTTGGTGCAAGGCTCCAAACAAATTCCACACTCCTCTTCTCTCTCCAACTCAGCATTGACAAGGCTACCATCTCCTCTAATCATCTTCTTTCCGGAGCTTTCCATGCTAGGATACCCTTCCTTAGCATCATCTAACTCCCCCAAATCCCCATGAAGCCGCTGAAGAGATGGTAAGATAACGGCTGAAATTCAGTTTTTGACAAAGCAAATAAAGTTAGAATCAATTTATTTGAGCACAACTAAGTGTGACATTCAAAGATTTCAATGATGAAGTAAAATATAGCCAAATTTAACATACAATAGAAATCCCTTATAGTTGCTTTCCTTCCATGGGTTGAAATGGTAGGCCTGCCATCTGTGTATACCTGTATCAGATAAAAAAGCAAATAATGAAAAGGCATGCCCAAATTAGGTAGAGCAACAAAAGTAAATTCCATTTTAGCAACCATTAAGAACTAATAGACTAGAGATTAGAGAAGAGGAAACCACCTTGTAGACAAGTATGTGGAAGAAATTTAGATATCTTGGGAGTAGACATGTGCATGAGCAATCAATCCACTGTAACAAAAACAGAAAGAGGGGAGCCAAGTGATTGTAAACCAATTTCATTTGAAAACGGGCACCGCCCTTGCCTCTTGGAATTGCAGCAGCTCTGTACGTAATCCAAACCAAAATCAGAATTACTAGTATGGCACAAGTTGCTAACTTTACAATTCAATCAGATTACTCAACCATGACCAAGTCTGAACCCCAAAAAAATATAAATAAATATTAAAAAAAACAACGACTTCGTTCCTACACCAATGCTCTTTGGACTTGAAAAGGGGAAAAAAAATTCCCAAATTGGCAAATAGACAAAGGGTATAACTTAGGTCTGAATATGTAATAGACAATCCCATATGGGTTTTAGAACTTGACCCAAAAAAATCCCATATGGGGTTTTGCTTTTTCTTGCCTCAATTGACAAATTATGATGTTGATCATGAGGATCATATTGCCTAAATAAAGACTTGTAAAATTAAAAGATAAAACTACCCACCTACCCACCTACCCACCTGGGGAAAAGGATATACAAAGCAACTAAAACAGCAACCAGAGTAATTGAAACACAAACAAAGAAGTTCCGGAGAAACAAAGAACTTACAGAGAATTGGCATGCTGTATATCAGCCTCCAGAACATTCAAGGATTCCTGGTAAGAAGGCTGGTAATATATCATCTCCATCACAAACTCTTATCTCTTGGGTAACAAAGATACAAAGAACAGAGAGCAAAAACTCCCCTCTATTCTCAGACTATCAAGTAAACAAATGAACACCACAAACAAAGTTCTCTCCTTTTCTCCTTCAGAGAACTTAAAAACCAGCCCTCACCTCACCAGAAACAAACAAACAAAACAAAGCAAAGAGAGGGGCACAGATTTTTCTTTCCCAAGGCTTTTCTCTTTATCCTTTACTCAGAAGGGGCGGCTCTCTGAGAACGACTGTTTTCGGTGTTGGCTGCTTTATACGGTCAGAAATGGAATACGTAACAAGGAAAATGGTGTCTTCCGCTACGAGGATGATGAGGATGATGTTTTTATTAGGAATTTGGGATGCCCTCCATTTAATTTACGTTCTTATCATAATCTTTCCTTATATTTGGTGCTCTTTTTAATATTGCCAAGGTACCTTTTGTTAGTTTTCACCTGATTTTTATAATGATATGCACCTCATGTATTTTCAAATCAACCCTTGTTTGTGTATATAATTTATTTGTGGTGGGTTTCTCTTGTGTGTATGTGTGAATGGCTTCATCACGCAACCATCTGAACCACTCGATCAAAGGGTCCACTTTGGAAGCTTATCCATGGACTGAAACACATCAGGTGGAGAATCCCATAAGGAAGCAATATAAAATTTTGCATTATGAAAGTATTATTGTGGTGGCTGCCTACACACACAAACAACAAATCCTTAAAATTTTGGTCAATTGCTTCTCTAACCTAAGAATGGGGTCTACTATCCAATTTAAAATTAAAAAGAATGGGGTCGAATTACATTTTCTTCTTGTGGGGGTTTTTTTTTTCTTTTCTTTTTGGTTTATACCTTTTTATATCTTATTCTTTTGGCCTTCCTTCCTACCAACATTTTACATTTGTTTAATTAATTACATTGTTTTTCCCTTCCACAACATAATGAATATAATCCTCTTTTTTTTCTTTTTTTCCACGCCAATTATTATGGCATGGCTTAATTTAGTCAAAACTTTTTCACAAGGAAAAAGAAGACCTTTTTCTGTTTAAGAGAAAAAATATACGAAGTTGTGGAAAATTCCAAGTGAAAGTCACTTTCGAAAGATAAGTAGGGGCAAGTGGTGACAACACTAGAGCAGTAGCTAGCCAACTCAATGGGTACAATTCTGCCGGATAACCCACGCCGCTCTGATGGACATGGGGAATTATATGGATGATACATTTATATGCTTTTTAATGTTAATTGCCCTAGTCTTTTCCCCATTGAAGAAAAACTACTGATTTTGCTAATGTTAATTGCATAAGTACGAGGGCAAGTTTGCATCACACAGTAACCTATAGTACGGTAGCATAGCTCTTTAGTAGCATAGGATGTGATATGCATTAGAGCAAGGCGGTCCTATTTTGTTTCGAGATGTTGATAGTTTTGACTTTTACACAAAAAGCATAAGCTTTTTTTGTAAGGCGTACACTTTTTAAATGAGGCATGGGCTTCTATAATTTTTTTTTTTAAAAAAAAAAACAAAAGAAAGCCCAAAACGACGTTGTATTGGGTAAGGGTTTTAAAACTCTAGCAAAAACCCAGCCCCCAATGCGACATTCATCACTTCTTACTCCTGAAGAAGCCGAACGTGATGCAGCTCCTTTCTCCTCCATCATCCAATCGCTGGTTTTCATATTTCATCAAAGGCCATTCACTTAGCCACAAAGGGAAGCAATTTTCAGCATCTGTAGAAGAAGATTACCAACTTTCTTCAATATTTCTCTCAATTTTCGCATGCCCTAGGTAACCCACTTTTTTTATAAAAAATAAAAAATAAAAAATTATAAAATTGATGTTTTCCTTCTTCTAAGTTTTAGTTTTAGTTTTTTAGTTCATATTTCCTTCCTATATTCAGTGGCGGATCCATGAAGTTTTCGGGGCAATAACATTTTGATAGGACTGAATTATAAAAAAAAAATAAAGAACATATTATAATGAAATATATATTACAATAGCTATAATCAAGTAATTGAAGCAAAATAATCAATCTTAAAACTACTTCTATCTAGGCTGACTTGCTAAAGAAATAAGAATAAGCTAGAGGAGGTTTGTAGAATTATACATACATATATGTTGCAGTGATAACGATTTGGTTTTAACAGATTGATCACAACTCAACATTTCACTTTTAACTAGTTGGGCTGTAAGTAAGGTTTTTATTCATTTATTGTTTATTTATTAATTTGTCAGAGTTTGGGCAGGAAAAGGAATTTTATTTCACCAAAACAGTAGAGTTTGACTTTTAATAAACTTCAATGAAACGTGTGTTTCATTAAACAAAACTAAAGGACGACGTCGTTTGTGAAAAAGAAAATTAGGGTATAGAGTTATCTTCTTCCTTCGTGAACCATCATCTCAGCCTCCATTAGAGACGCCTATGCAACACATCATGCACCTCGCATCGCCTTAAACCATGCTAGTATGTGTAACTTGCCAAACGATTGGCTCCTTGAGGCAATTTCAAAACCCCTTACATAACGCTTTAACACCTTGGGTGCTAGCACAAAGGGGCAAATCTAGCATCCCCATGGCTTTTTTTCTACGAGGGGAGGTGCAGGTGCACCTCATTGCGCCTCTGTAGGTCCGCCACTGCCTATATTTGAGTACTTATAATGTTTATGTGATGATTGAGTTAATTTTAAAACTTAGGCTGATTTGAAATTATGAGTGGCAATAGGAAAGATTTTGTTTGGAAGTGGGTTAAGGTAATTGATGGAGAAAGATACATTAAGTGTTTTGTTTTTATGACCAAAAATGCACCGTAGGATTCTCTAGACTCAAACATCACTTGGCTCATACCCACCATAGCATGAAGCCTTGCCATCACTTGAAGACATAAAGAAACAAAAACTAAGCAAAATGAAATGCTTTGTGAGATTGGGCAAGGAGATTTGAATATGGAAATGGAGTTTGAATCTCAATCAGAAGGTTATGGAGTAAGTGGAAGTAAGGTTGGAAGTGTAAGTGCGGGTGGAAGTGGGAGTGTACCACATTCAAATGCTCCACCTCTAGGCCAAGAGGATCACTTGATAGGTTTGTATCATCAGAGTCTCGCCAAGCAACATTGACTTCCACATACAAAAAAGAAGAAAGGAAACAAGTGTGTTGAAAGGTTGGGAGCTTTTTTTACACTAGTGCAATTCCATTTAATGCAGTCAATAATCCTTATTAGTTGACTATAGTGGATGGAATTGCCAATTTTGGTCTTGGGTTCAAACCTCCTAGTGCTCATGAGTGGAGAACTTGGATTCTCAAAGCAAAAGTTGAAGATGTTGAGAATAAAATCCCACAATTTAGGAGATTGTATATACCATAACTGTTGTAATCCCATCATACATGGGCCAACCTTAATTCTAGCTTAGCAATAACTTATTTCCTAGAACAGCACTTTGCTGTAGCCATATATACATATGTATCTGTACATTGAATCAATATCAATTATCAATTCATTCTCCAATTTTATTATGGTATTAGAGCACCCTCGTGGTGGCTCTTCATTTTCCGCTGCAACCTTTGTCTTCTTTCTTCATGGGCAACAACGATGAGTCTTCTCAAAGCTCTATCATTGAGACCTCTAATCCTTTTGTTTTTTTTTATACTCTTTAGATCACCAAGGGCTCTTGCTTGTTACCAAGCGCCTTAATAGTGATAACTATCCCACATGGAAACACTTCATGATCATCGCTCTTATAGCCAAGAACAAGATTGGCTTCGTCAACGGCTCCATCAAAGCGCCTTCGTAAGCAAAGAAACCGGCTGACTTCACCTTCTGGAAAAGGTGTGACAAAATAGTGCTTTCTTGGCTACTCAATTTAATTGAACCCGATTTGGCCGAAAGGGTTGTTTATGCAGACACAACACACAAAATCTGGAAAGACTTTGAAGATTGATTTTCTCAAGGCAATGCCCCACGAATCTACCAAATCCAAAAGGCAATTGTCTTCCACACCTAAGGTTCGATGTCTGTATCCAATTATTATACAAAACTTAAAGGATATTGGGATGAACTAACCTCTTAAAGGGGAACACCATCTTGCTCTTATGATGGAATGAAAGAATACAACAAGTTTAAAGAACATGACCAAATTATGCAATTTTTTATAGGGTTAAATGATTTGTAGAACGCCACACGCGGCTAAATCCTACTCATGAAGGAACTCCTGAGTGTTAGGGAGGCATATTCACTAATCATTTAGGAGGAGAAATAGCGGGAAATTGGATCACCTGTCACTGGAGGAGTTTTTATCAACGTTGCTGTGAAAACCCAAAAAGGGGCTGGATCTTCACACCATCGTTATGGAAATCAGAACAGTTTTAGAGGCACACCAACCTCCAGCGAATCCACAACTACATTGTACCTATTGCAATAAGGATCATCACACAGTCAATCATTGTCACAAGCTTAATGGCTATCCTCATGGACATAAACTTTATCGTGGTGGTTCCAACTCGTCTGGGCATGTTAACACAGGGAGTGCATCTCGCAATGGAAGCCACAACAAGTGGCGCGCTTCATCTTCATATGCCTATCAAGTCCAAGCGGGCTCACCAGCAACTGCAGCCCAAATTGAATAGACCCACACAACCAGTTCTCATGTGGATCTGTCCACTCAAAATTTGAAAAACATTTTGGGTGGGCTTTTTGTAGATCAATGCAAACAATTGGTAGCAACAATGGTACACTTATCTAAACCCACATTCGAAAATATCGATGTTTTTGCCAACGCTGCAGGTCTGCTCAATTGCCTTATATTAATGCAATTTTGTCTCACTTTTGGATACTTGATAGTGGTGCCATAGACCATATTTCATCTTATTCCTCCCTTTTTGTTCACTCTAATACCTTTTGTATGTCATGTGTTAATTTGCTTACAAGTTCATCGATGCCCATTGATTCCATCAGCACTATTCTCTTTAATAAAAACATTACCCTTGACAATGTTCTTCATGTGCCTTCTTTTCATCTTAATCTAATGTCTGCTTATCACAAAATCTTTCCGTTGTTGTATAATTCTTTTTCCCGATTTTTGTGTCATACATGACTTGGCTACGGGGAAGACGATTAGGTAGGGTAAACAAGATGGAGGACTTTATTGCATGTCATCTGCCTCTCAAGCACCACTTTCTTGCCATGTCTCCCTTTTGTCCACCCTCTGGCATCAATGGCTTGGTCATCCTTCACTTGCTCATCTTAAATTACTTTCTTCCTCTATCCCTTCCATGTCTGTTTCTTTTTATAATAATTGTCGTGTTTATTCAATGGCCAAACAAACTTGAAGTTATTTTTCCTTAAGTAATATTTCTACTAATACACCTTTTTCTTTATTTCATTGTGATATTTGGGGACCCCACCGGATTTCACCACATTACAGTGTGCATTATTTTCTCACTATTGTAGATGATTTTACTAGGTGCACTTGGGTTTTTCTCATGAGTCGCAAATATGACACCCAATCTCTGCTCAAATTCTTCTTCTTTTTTTGTCCACACTCAATTCATTGTTAACATTAAAATCATGCGCACTGATAATGGGTTTGAATTTCTTTCCATGAAATATTTTTTTCTTAATAATGAGGTTAAGTTTCAACGTTCATGCGTGTACACATCACAAGAAAATGGCATCATTGAACACAAGCATTGCCATATTCTCAATGTCGCACGTGTTCTGTGTTTCCAATCTAATTTGACAGCAGTCAATCTTATTAATAGATTACCTACCCCATTACTAAACCAAAAATCCCCTTTTGTAATGCACCACAACAACCACCTACTTTCTCTTATCTTCTTTGGTTGCCTTTGCTATGCTGTTGTTGTTCACTGTCACAATAAATTCGATTCTCGTGCTCGTCGTTGCGTCTTTCGTGGTTACAATAAAGGTAAAAAAAGTTACAAGTTGTATAACCTTGACTTTCATCACTTTCTTGTTAGTTAGGATGCCATCTTTCATGAAACCATTTTTTCCTATGCTAAAAGAACCCACTACCTTTAACACGTCTAATCCTCCCTTTACTAGTGGACCCATCTCACACCTATCCATTTTGCATTAGCCCACAATCCAATTCACTGCCTTCATTTGAACCCCGTACCTGAACTGACACACCTAACCCACACGAGTCCTCCTAATTCGATCTTACGCTTTCGTCACCTTCCTTCCCAACACGTTCACTTCACTCACTTGAACATGGGCCATCTTCTCTGGTCACCCTTCATGGGCTTGCCTTTTCTATCGGGCTTGAGTCACTTTATAGGCCTAATATCCCTACACCGTCTTTTTCGCTTGCACTTGTTCCTACCCGACAGTCCGCCAGACCAAAACATCCTCCATCTTTGCATCAGTATTATCACCTCTCCAATACTGCTGTCTCCGCATGCTCTTCATCCCATCTAACATCCTTCTCCTTCAGGTACTCATCACCCCTTATCTTTTTTTATTTTATTTTTATTTTTTATAATCTCTTTATCATTTTTCTCATTTTCATATAGTTTTTCTAGCTAACATTTCAGGCACAACTAAGCCAACTTCCTATATCTAAGCTGTCAAAGATCCTTACTAATGAGACATTATGCAAGTTGAACTAGATGTTTTGGAAAAACAAAATACTTGGACTCTCATGCCCTTACCTTATGGCTACAAACCCATTGGTTGTAAATGGGTTTACAAGATTAAATACAAACTTAATGGCACGATTAGCTGCTACAAAGCCTGCCTTGTTGCCAAAGGCTATACTCATATTAAAGGCATTGATTATCAGAAACCTTTTCTCCCACCACCAAGCTTACCACTCTTCGTTGCCTTCTCATCGTGGCTATTGCTCGTAATTGGTTCATCCACCAACTTGATGTCAATAATGCATTCTTTCATGGTGACTTATTTGAAGTCATGTACATAGACTCTTTTCCTGGTCTTCGCCGATAGGGGGAGAATCTTGTATGTTGGCTTAACAAGTCTTTATATGGTCTAAAACAAGCCTCCCGCAACTGGTTTTCTAAGTTTTCCACAGCCATTCATGCAGTTGGTTTCCAACAATCCAAGGCAAATTATTCACTATCTACCCGAGTTAATGGTAATTCTCTCATTGCCGTTCTTATATATGTTGATGTCATACTTGTTACTGACAAAAGTTTGGATAAACAATCTCAAATCATTCTTGCTTCAACACTTCTACATCAAAGGCCTTGGTGATCTAAAATATTTTTTGGGGCTTGAATTCTCTCGATCAAAATAAGGGATTTTTATGTGTCAACGGAAGTATGCCTTAGATATTTTACAAGATGCAGGTTTACTGGGTGGACTGCCATACTCTTTTCCCATGGAACAACATTTGAAGCTTACACCTACGGATGGTGTTCCACTCGATGATCCAACCCGTTTTCGATGATTAGTAAGGAGATTAATCTACCTCACAGTTATTCAGCCAGATATCGTGTATCCTATTAAGATATTAAGCCAGTTTATGCAACAACCCAGGAAACCAAACTTAGATGCGGCACTTCGGGTCTCGAGGTTTATCAAAGGCATACCTAGTCAAGGTTTGTTCTTTCCAGCGGCTAACAACTTTGCCTTAACAGCTTACTATGATTCTAACCACGCAGGATGCCTTATAGCAAGAAGGTCAAGCACAGACTATTGTATATTTCTTGGTGGTTATCTTGTTTCTTGGAATCCATGAGAATACTAAACATATAGAGAGACTGCCACATTGTAAAGGATAAGCTACAAGCAGGAATCATCTCTACTTCTCATGTCCGCTCACATCTATAGCTTGCCGACATGTTCACGAAAACGTTGGGACGAGATCATCTAAAATTCTTAAGTGGCAAGTTGGGACTTCAAAATATTCACTCTTTAACATACCAGTAACTTATTTCCTAGAAATAACGCTTTGATGTAGCCATATATACATATGTATTTGTACATTGTAGGGCTGGGCACGGTATGAGATGACACAGGATGGAGGTCATCCCGATGTCAATCCTGAATAGGGAAATTGGGATGGGATGACACGTGATCGGTATGATTTGGTATCAATGTTGATACCATAAAAAATCTGCAAAATTTCATAAATCAAATGTAATACAACAACACCCTTAATCAAGATTCAAGAGTTTTGATTCAAGACCAACCAAGAAATGGAAATCTCATACAAAGTTCAAGTGAAATGGAAATCAAATATCATGTAGGCTTTTACAACAAATCAAGCCTAATACAAATTCAAGTGAAATGGAAATCAAATCTCATATAGGCTTTTACAACAAATCAAGCCTAATACAAACAAAACAAACAATCAATTAAAAGTTCAAGTTCAAGACATGTCAAATTATAAAGCAAGAATTGGAAATCTCACATAGGCTTTTAGAAACAAATGAAGCCAAATTAAGTACAAACTTCAAAGCAAGAAATGGAAATCTTAAATGGCATGTCCCTTTCCCTTTGGATCAATCCCTAATGTGTTGTACTGGTGGCAGCAGCTTCAGTACTTGCATATTTTATAAAATAAAAATAAAAAATCACACATGTTCATTGTTCCCTGTCATTGGGGCAATTTGAAGCTTCTATGGCAGGAAAAATGACAACATCAAATAAAGGCTTAACACTGTTGTCAATCTACTAAAAAACACACGCATTATTAACTTTCAAATTATTTTCACGCACAAAATTCATCCAACCACCAGACATGAATAAATCTCTTCCTCTTCCATATTTCAAATTAACCCAAGTTCTCCGATCCAAAACTCAAAGGATAACCTGACAAGAATTCTTAATAGGATATAGCTTGTGAAACTCGGATGGCAACCACTGGAAAAGAATAATAAAAAAAATTGTGGAAAGAATGAAGAAAACAATAAGAAAATTTAAAGACAGAGAACACTAATGACTGTTCCACTAACATAAGTAAACATAATTTGTTATGGCCTAGACAGCATGCATGGTTGTTTATAGAAAGCTTATCAGCAAGAACCCTGTGATATAAGAGGGCTTCATGGCAACAATGACAGAAAGAGGGTGTTGAGATTTGTAAGCATTAGCTTTCTGAAGAGCTATAGCTTTTCCACTTTTAGGCAATGGACGGATCCTCCCAAGAAACCCAGGTGTTCGTTTTTCGAATCTTCGAGTGCTTGATGTGCTTCCACTACCTAATTTAGCAGGATAATCATCTTTCCATGTTAAAAGAATACAACAGGTTATTGCAAACAAGAACATAATGTCAGAAAACACCACATGCTAATTATTAAGAACATGTAATCTATTAGTTTCATTTCTGATTTAGACTTTTGAAACATCAGTTTATAAAGTTGTGTAATTTCTTGGTTTAATTCTGCTTTACCTTTTGAACTTGTCATGTTTTTTCTTCTGAGGCCTAGGACAAGGCAATGAGGATTTCTTCCTCCTTTTTCTTGGGTAGGTTGAATCGTCTAGTTGTTCTTTGATAGAATCATCACTAGAATCTTCATGAAAATCATCGTCTTTATCATCAGTTACTTCCATCTCCTGCTTTCTCAAAGGATAGTCAATCTGTGTGCAAGTTCTATCAAATATGCAAACACGGAATTTGGAATTCCCTTAATATCCAAAAACTAGCCAGTAACCTTTCTCTAGGGAGTAAAACTCAGAGAAGTCTGCCCAACCCTTGTCGAACCACACCTCACCATCCAATCTTCTGAGGTCTACTTTCCATGCTGAACCACTTCCACTTGGAAGCTCAAGTGACGTTGGATTTGATAGATTATCCCCATATTTCATTACAAATACTTTTGGAATGCTCTACACCACAGAGATTTGTGTCAAGTAACTGATCAAAACGTGAAAAGATCATCTGATTTTTTTTTTTTTTTTTTTTTTTTTTTGGAAAAATGATTAATCTCAGACGTCTCATAGCATAACAAGCATTTTTCACACATGTATGACTAGAAATATAAAGAGAGTGCGAGAAAGAGAAAGGTGCTTACAAGTTTTGCGTCTCTGGAAGTGTTGCCCTCTAGAATGATCTAGGGAGTGGTTGGGGAAATTGTTTGCCAGTCATCAATTTCTTAGGGTAAAGAAGCCATATATAGCTGAACTTCTGTGGTGTGGAGTTTCAAAGATTTGGAAGAAGCTATAGTTTACTTGAGTAATATGACGGTAAAGTAATAATGGCAACTACCCCCAGCAGATAATAGTTTTGAAGATCCATTTTCAATTTGGAGCCTATCCACCCCCAACAACCTCATTTAACTCTACCCTCTTAAAGAACCTCACCAACCAAGATCTGAGTTTGTTTAACTGGGCCACAAAATCTACCAAAATTCTTTGTATTAAATTCCCAATTTTGCTCTTTTTGCCTCAGCCCTTTTCAAATTCTTGATTTCATATATATAGTGAATACTAATTTCACATTTTTTAAGTAATTATCTTACTATTTTGGCTGGCTCACTTGTTGTTGGTTCGTTGATGAGTACTTATTCGATATTAACTAGGGCTGGGCACGGTATGAGATGACACGGGATGAAGGTAATCCCAGTGTCAATCCCGAATAGGGGAATCAGGATGGAATGACACGGGATAGGAGTTTTTGAAAACACATTCAAACCATACCGAACCCAAACGGGATCAGTATGATTTGGTATCAATGTTGATACCGTAAAAAATCTGCAAAATTTCATAAATCAAGTGTAATACAACAAAACCCTCAATCAAGATTCAAGAGTCTTGATTCAAGACCAACCAAGAAATGGAAATCTCATACAAAGTTTAAGTGAAATGGAAATCAAATCTCATATAGGCTTTTACAACAAATCAAGTCTAATACAAATTTGAGTGAAATGGAAATCAAATATCATATAAGCTTTTACAACAAATCAAGCCTAATACAAACAAAACAAACAATCAATCAAGAGTTCAAGTTCAAGACATGTCAAGCCTAATCCAGACTGCATGAACAGAACAGAACTATTGTATGGATATTATTAATAGATTCCTAGTTACAAGCTTAGCAAAAGCAATAATAATAATAAAAACAAGTTTCGGGGCCTCTTACCATTCCAAATTCCCAATTGGGGCTTTGGGCTAGGTTGGAGCTGCAGATTGAAGAAAAATATACCTGCAAAGCTGCATCAAATAGCAGTTTTAGATTCATGCAAACACAAACAATTTTCTAGAACCTGTAAAGACAATTTTAGTAGTATGTGGCAGGTTGTAAGGTGTCCAACTATAAGACAAGCATGTAAGTTTTCCAGAGTAGCAGAAGATGATTAGCAATGTACAAGTATAGGAAACTCTTGAAATCAAATTGAGCATTTGATCCTGATTAGTGCTTCTTAAGGCATTACATAATTAAATAGCAAACACACTCACGAATCAAGTTACATAAGATTCCATAGTCTCAAAGCAAAACTCACTAATGATCAAATGGCTTCAAATAAAACTTGAGATAGTGATGGAAAATAATTAAGAGTTGCAGCCTCACACAAGAAAGCAAAGGTTCTTCAATAGAAAAATTAGACAGAATTTCAATGGTGGTCAACTATTGTGGACTCAGTTGTTGCAAACTTAGTATTTAGGTAATCAGACAAAATTTCAATACAAAAATCTTGTGCTATCGAAACTAACTATTGCAGACTTAGTATTTAGTCCATGAACAAATACACATGGCCTTAACAAACTTGTGGATGACAACAGTTCGTACTAGAATAGTTTATATTATGCAAAATTAGGGAACCCAAGGCATATATAAAAAACGACAAAAGGAAAAACAAGGATGTGTTGTACCTTTTCACGATCCACACCTCATTTTCCTATGGAATCCTTAAGTTCCTTTGAAGCAAACAACTATATAACACCCAAATCATCAGTATAAATGCTTAAGAACAATACCAGCAAATCAATGATGTTGGGGACTAAAATCAAAACAATTTCTCAAATTTGAAAACAAATAATCGCAAACCAAATGAATACCTGAGAATATGAGATCGTATTGAAATTGGTAGCAGAGGGAAAATGGGTTTAAAGAAGTCTACAACCAAACCAACAATACGATCTTCAACAACCCCCTAATTTTTCTACACAAAAACTCATAGAGACTTTGGGTTAGGGCTTTCCTTTTCCACTGGTTTGGAGAAGTACAGAGAGAGAGAGTGAGAGGAGGAGGATGAGAAGAAGATGAGATCGATTGATGGTGGAGGATTTGGGAATTACGGCTTCAAATCTTGATTGAGAAAGGAGAAGATGAGAGATGAGAAGAATTTGACAGAGGAAAGGAAAGGACGTACGCAGAGAAACAAAGAGAAAGAGTCGACAAAATATTTGTGAGAGTAGGGTTGGAACTAAAATTAAATTAGGATTAATAAAAATAATGTATTGTTCGGTACGGTATGACACCAACCGGGATCACAAATGTGGAACCGATGTTGTGCCAAACAGTAACGAGATGACACGGTATCATCCCTTTTACACGTCACCACCAAACGGGAAGGCACAAAATTGGCACGTTTTCAGGATGGTTTCGGTGTTCCAGTTTTGATGCCCACCCCTAGTACATTGAATCAATACCAATTATCAATTCATTCTCCAATTTTATTAGAAGATGTGAAATGCTTGATGGTTGAACACCAAAAAGCTTGGAAGGAGTATGTGTGCCCCATTATGTCCGATGGTTGGACAGATGGAAAAATTAAGGTTCTAATAAACGTTTTAGTGAATAGCCCTCATGGTACTTAGTTTTTAAAATCAATTGATGCATCCGACATTATAAAGAATGGAGATTTGATACTAAAGTACTTGGATGATGTTGTGAAAGAAGTTGGGGAGGATAATGTGGTTCAAGTCATCACAGATACTGCCTCAAATTATAAGAATGTCGAAAAGAGACTTATAGAAAAGAGAAAGAAATTGTACTGGACTTCATGTGCAGCTAATTGCATTGAATTGATGATGGAAGATATCAATAAGTTGAAAGTTATCAACAACAAATAGTATTTATGTGGCTGTGGGGAAAACCACAATCCAGTAAATATGGTTAACATCATATTGCAGGTTGAGAAAGTATAAAACTCATATAATTAGTCAGGCCAACCAAATAACGAGGGTGTATGAGACATTGTAACTAACAATGGCGAGCAGCATAACACAATCATTTCGATGATGCTTACATAAGAGAGCTCAAGTAAGTTTGAAAAGTTAGATTTAGTTTATCAAAGGATCACATGTTTTTTTAATTTATTAACAACACGTCCCATTTTTTAATGCATAGGTCGAAAAACCAAGGCTCTAGGAAAAAGGATTCTTGTTGATGAAGAAGATTATATGAATTTTATGGACATCACTCATTCCTTGGATTCCCTGCTAGATTTCTTGAATGAATATCACGCTAATGAAAGTGATGAAAATGATAGCTTGAATGATGTTATTCTTAGTGATGAGGATGATGTATAAGATCATCATCATGCTTGTTCGTATTGGATTTTGATTTGTATGTGGATTTGTTTGGATTTGGATTTGGATATGATGATGTTTGGTTAGGTTTCTATGTAAATTTTATGGAATTAGATGTATTTTGGTTCATTTGAAAGGCTTGGAATTCTTGGATTTCACTATATTATATTTTTTCCATCATATTTTTTTTTATTACACCTTGAAAGGCATAAAAAGCTTACGCCTCAACACTTAAGCCTTGTCTCACGGGAGGTAAAACACCTCGGCTTATGCCTTAGCAATTTAAAACATTGGTCAGAACTATGCCATTTTGTTCGTCTTTTCTAATCTGGTTGAACATCAAGATTGTTTTACACAAAAGCTTCAACACAGCCTCCCAACTTCCTAGTACAGACCCAACATCGAGGATCAAACTTGGCTACAAGGACAATGAAACATCTGCATGTTCATTCATTTATGACCCAATTGATAATATAGAAAATAGCTAAGATCATGATATAGAAAAAATGGAAAAAGAAATCCAAGCTTTCGAGTGAAAGGAAGTAAAAAAATTTGAAGTAAATAGTCCCACATTTCCATATGCATCAATCATTCGATAATAACTAGAAATCAAGAACTTTTCAGTTGGTGGAAAAGCACAACTGAAAATACAGGAATGCCACTATACATACCACCTGGATAAAAACACTTATCAAATACCTGCGCAACTTTTTAAAGTGCTTCCAAATCAAGGCAACCCTTTTCTTCACTCTAAGCACGAGCTTGTCCCAAGCTACTCTGAATCCAAGCCATGCCACCACGGCAACAAATAGGATTTATGTGGTCGTGGGGAAGACCACAATCCAGTTAATATGGTTAACATCATATTGCAAGTTGAGAAAGTATAAAACCCATATCATTAGCAAGGCCACACAAATAACGAGCGTGGAGAAGACATTGTAACTGACAATGGCGAGCGCACACCATAACACAGTCATTCCGATGATGCTAATGGAAAAAAGCACGAACCCCAAAGTGCCCCCAAATTTTGCTGGGTTTCCTAAGAGCATTTCCATGGCATATGGCAAGGGGAAGCAAGGGTTGTTACTATTCATATGAATAGTGCCCATCCTAGCAATGTTTTTTTTTGTTGCTTTTCCACCCATTTCCATGAGAAAAGACAATCATTATTCGCATGAAATTAATTTTTTGTTATTGTACTTACAAGATTTATTTTGATAAGATTTTCAATTGTCATGTATTTATATTTATTATAAAATTCATATCTCATATTTCGAATAAAATATTCAGTTAAGATTTTCGGACACGTATCCATATTTATTCACATCTTAGATTTCAAATATGATTTTCGGTTGCTACTAGTATATTTCGGTTGCCACATGTCATCTTTTTCTTCTAAATCCTATTATAAAACCACACCATCAACTCACACCAATCATCCTTATCCTCTTTATTCTTTCATTTATCAGATTTTACAAAACACATTCTGCTCTCAATGTCTAATACGAAGAGGTTGTTGGAGAGGGCCGAGTGAGAAAATGAAGAAAAATGCGCAAACATGCTAAAGAAGAAAAGAAGTGGGAAGCACATAACAATCAAGTTATTTTAGTAGTGGGTATGCTCGATCAATCAAGCGAACACCACAGTGGTTCACAATCCGGCCATGGCCTAAATGGGCGTAGACACTCTCAAGGTAAATAGCTCTTGGAAGATTACTTTATCCCAAATTCATTGTACTCTAATGTTGGTTTTTAAGGGCAATATAGAATGCAACCCCATTTGTTCAGTAAAATCATACATGATGTTTGCAATTATGACTCATACTTAGTTCAGAAGTACGATGTTGTTGGGGTTTCGAGTCTTCTTCTAGAGCAAAAACTTACAACTTCCTTACGGATGCTTACGTATGGCACATTTGCAGACCAGGTGGATGAGATTGCTAGGATAGGGAAATCCACTATCCTAGAGTGCTTAGTTAAATTCTGTGATACAATCGAAACTCTGTACATGAGGGACTATCTCTGCAAGCCTACGCCTAGGGACTTCCAAAGACTTATGCAAAAAGCCAAGGTTTGAGGTTTCCCATGCATGATTGGAAGGATCGACTGCATGCACTGGCAGTGGAAGAATTGCCCAACTGCATGCAAGGAGATTATGAGAATAGGAAGGGCAAAAAAGTATCATTCTAGAGGCCGTTGCATTATTTGATACTTGGGTTTGGCTTGCCTTTTTCGGAGTTACAAGATCTCAAAACTACCTTAATGTGCTCAGTCAATCCCTGAAACTCCATTATTGCACAGTGATAATCTTTCAGCCTTAGCTCTCAATGCTAATCCAATGTTCCACTCTTGCATTAAACACTTAGACATTGACTTTAATTTCATTCGTGAAAGGGTTCAATGTAAAGATTTGAGGATTCAATATATTCCTTCTGATGAATAGGTGGCTGATATGTTAACCAAGGGCTTACACAGTCTAATCTCTGTGTGTCACAGTTCTAATCTCAGGTTGTGTTCCTCCCCTAGCTGAGATTGAGGGGGGATGATCTCAGATGTCTAGTATTGGCATCTTTGAGCTGTTGACTATAGTCAAAGCAGTCAAACAAAGTAGGGCAAAGTATTCAGTTATGCTCAGATATTTTATTCTTCTCCAATATTGAGGTATTTATAAGGAAGTACAATCCTAAATAAAATAAGACATAAATGTAAATTACTGTAGGACTAAATAAATGGGTAAGTAACCAAATTACTAACTAAGTAAGGTTTCACCAACACTTCTCCTCAAGTTTGGTCAAAGATATTTCACATGCTCAACTTGACAAGTGAGTCATAGAACATCATACTTGAGACGAACCAATGCAGAGAAGGTCTTTCTGTCATTCACAAGTGAAACAACTGACAAACCAAAACAAAGTTTGCAACAGAAACACAAGAGCAAACCCTATAAAATAAGGCACATGGCAGAACACAAAAACCCTGTGTACAAGCCCCTCTCCCCTAAAGAGAATGGGTCGTCAGAGCCAAGAAATAGGCAATATCGTCATAGGAATCTGTCTCTAATACCAAGTCAAAAAAGTAGGGCAAATATGCAAATATTCAGTTATACTCAGACATTTTATTCTTCTCCAATATGAAGGTATTTATAAGGGAGTACAACCCTAAATAAACTAGGAAATAAAAGTAAATTACAATATGACTAAATAAATGGATAAGTAACCAAAATCCTAACTAAGTAAAGACTCGCCAACAAAAGCTACTAACTAGATTACTTAATGATTAAGTTTGTAACTAATTAGATAGTTAAGCACATGATTGGTTTTAGAGTCGGCTGGTCATTGTGAGCATAGCTAAGTATAAAAGCTATAGTCTCTTTTGTAATATTCACTCTGTACAATTCAGATTTAGAGAATATATATAGAAACTTCCAATTCTCTCTCTTAAGGATGACAAAAATCTCCGCTGGGGCGAGTCCCCATCAAGTCCCCGAACTTAATGGGAGGAGATTTCGGGGCCAAATGGGTATTGGGTACGAGGATCCCCGAACTTGAAAAATCCCCGACGGATATGGGGAGGGGATGGTATTGGCATCCCCATCCCCGAACTCGACCCAAAAATATATATGTTTATATTTAAATAAATAAATATATAATTATAATATTTATGTTTAACCCTAAGTTAACCTCCCTCTCCTAATTCTTCCTAATCTTATATGGAATTTCATATTGATGTGGTTTTGAATAGTTGAGTTGAATTTTATAGTTAATTTGGATGTGTTGAATGAGAACTTAATATGAAACTTAATGTTAAAATGTATGATAAATATTTTTTATGTCAAAAAAATGGGGGATTTGGGGCGGGTATAAGGGATAGTCCCCCAACGGGCACAGGGACAGGGATTCCTCGAAACCTATTAAATAGGGATGGGTTCGAGGACATGGGCAGTGATAGAGAGCGGGGACGGGGATGGTATTGTCATACCCGACCCCTACCCGACATGTTGCCATCCCTACTCTCTCTAGTCTTCTTTGCTGCACCGTCTTCTTATCAATTAGATCGCCATGGTTATCACACCCACAATATGAAAAATCGATATTTTTGCCGATATTTCGGCGAAAATATCATTTTTTGGGGACAACGATATTTTGGCACCTTTCCATATATATATATATCGTCAATTTATCGATAATTTCGCCGATATTTCGGCTACGATATTTTCGTTCAATTGGCAGTGAAAAATGGTCAATATATCGTGATATTATCGATAATATCGCGATATGAACTTTCTCAAACCCATACCCAAAAATGGAACACCCCGCTGCTTCTTCCTTTCTTTTTTTGCCTTCTTCTGTGAGACCCACTTCGACTCCAACACCAAAGCCTCCACCACAGTCAAACCCACCACACCCTCCATCCACCATCCCTCCACCTAATAACTCAGCATTTTCACACAACATGAATTCAACATCTCCAAAGACAGAGCACAAGTATCACTGTCAAACAGAACACAATTAAACCCAATCACTCGACCAACCAATCGAACCCAAACAAGAATAAGGAGAGAGGAGGAAGAAGAAGAGATAGAGGAGCCATGGAAGAGAGAAAGGGAAGAAAGATAAAAAAAAAGGGTGCGGCGGCTGCAATGGAAGAAAAAAGAAAGAAGATGTGTTACTTAGGGTTAAGAATGTGAGTATTGGAAGAGAGAGGGGGGAAAATAAACAAATGAAATGAATGAGAGTAAGTGGGAAGTTGAGAAATTAAATAAAGAAAAGAAAGAGGGATAGATAAGTGGGAGATGGAACGTTTTGTTTTTTTACTTTTAATTTTATTTATTTAGCTCTTTACTTTTGTTTTTTAATTTCTGATTAACAAAAGGTTTTTAATTTTGATATATCATATATATAAAAGACAGAGAATGTGTGCAAGGAAGCTTAAGTCGGAATTTTGAATTCTTTTTATTTAATTTTTTTTCATTATTGTGCTAATTTTGACATACATGGATTTAGAATATCTTCATCCAAATGAAGTCTTACAAGAGGGTGTACATATAACACATATCTAAAGTGGTGGAAATATGAATGGGAGGTTGAGTTGTGTACATGATGGAAATTTTAAAAATAACATAATGGATTAAAAGTTTACAATCCAACTATCCGGCCGGAATCGGATTTTCCAAATCCAACTTACACCCCTAGGGGGATTCGAACCCCTCTCAATTCCAAAACCTGTAGCCACTTTAACTACCACGCTGGCATTCACTTTGTGATAATAAGCTATAGAATATGTATTTATAATACATGCAAGCTGTTTCTCAAAATAGAAATTAACATAATTACTTATTGTTTTATATTGTTGATCAGTTACTTAATTACTTAATATAATTTATTTCTTTTCTATTTAATCCATTTAATGTTATTGATTATTTTATTATTCATTATAAGTACTTATATTACTAAATTCCCCTTCAAATTGTTGCTTAATTACTTAAATCTCTATAATTATTTTCTTTGTTTACTACTTAATTCTTCCTTTGATAAATTTATTTATGTTCTTAGTTAATTTTCAATCTTCACTATTATTTTTTAAGTATGGTAAAGTGCCTAATTTTCATGAAAAGTCAAGTTGGTTTAATTATTTTTCAATTTTTGATAAATAATAAATATAAGAACGTGTACCATGTCCAATGAATAATGTGAAATAAGGTTACACATGTATCTAACCATGCAATTTATAAAGTGTAAAATATTGTACTAAAAATTGATAAATAAATTACTATGGGGTGTTTAATTCTCTTCATTAATTACTCCATATTTTCTAAGTCACAGAGTTTGTCAGCTCGCAATATAATCAACTTAAATCACTCAAACTCACAATGCAATGCATTTCCTTCCAATTTTTTATGTCAAAATAATAGATGTGTGACTATCCGTTGTTTTTATCCAATTTGTATCAATATCGATATTTTCCTGATATTTCCATTGATATTTCCGTGTTTTTGAACCACCGATATTTCCGAAACTATCGATATTTAAGACCTTGATCACACCCTACTATCATTTATTTTTATGCAACATATCAACCCCATTGGCTTTTAAAAATATAATAAAATAACATGATGTTTGGCATTTCGGGTGGAGTTAAATTTTTTTCAAAGTGTCAAATTGTCACATAAGCCATCAAATTCAAATCTAACATTTTGCATGTGACATCTCCCTTGGAGATGTTCTTATAGGATTATATTTACAGATTTTTATAATCAAATTTTTTACTTATGAATTTTAAAGATTTCTATCATAGGATTTACAAGATTTGAAAAGACACATAGATTTCTTTCGGCATCAACATAAGATTTTTTATAAGAAAAAAAAAGAACTGTAAAAATGAAACGTTAATATTATTACAAACCTTTCAAATGTTGTAAATTCATTTGATATAAATCTTTAAAATCCATAAGTAAAAAGTAGTTTTGATAATTAAAAATGAGGAGACACATGTCACTTTGTGATTGAGTCACAGTAGAAGGGAAGGTTTTTTTTTTTTTTTTTTGTCGAAGAAAAAAATCCTTACAGGTAAGGAAGGAAGCATCATGCTTTGTTTAATTAATTACATTGTTTTTCCCTTCCATGCTGGTGAATATATACTTTTCCATGCCATAATGAATATAACATTTTTTTTGGCACGCCAATTATTATGGCATGGCTTAATTTAGTCAACCCTTTTTCATAAAGAAAAAAAAAGACATTTTTCCGTTTAAGAGGAAAAAAAAAAGTTACGGAAAATCTCAGTGACCGTCGTTTTAGAAAGACACTTTGGGGCAAGTGGTGACAACATTGAATCAATAGCTAGCCAACCCAAGGGGTACAATTTGGCGATAACCCACGCCTCAATCAATAGTCCATCTCTATGTGCGAATGTGCATCGCACGGTAACCTACGGTACGGCCTTTAGCATAGCTCTCTAGTATTATAGTATGTGATTGCAAAGCAATAGAGAATTCGCAAGTGTAATGTAATTCTAAAACAACTTTTGGTAAAAGTTCTTTTTCTAACAGCAATATGACACGACCTGCATATACATATA